ATTTAATCATTCTTCTTGGCCTGGATCAAAGCGTGAAAGCTTACATTTGGAGGAAACTGAAATATCTGGGGAAATTCTAGAATTAAACCCATGTGGTTGAATGGAATTGACTGTTTTCTATTTCACATGCAATCAGGGAATCAAATTTAGTGGCAGGTGAGTGTGTTACCACATGTGCCTTATTTATCATTAGCACAAGTTATCTCAACAACTTAACAGCCATTGTCTGTATAGAAACACTTCTCTCACTGATACTTTTCACCTGTGTAAGGATGCATGACCTCACCTTACTCCCAGTCACAATGTCTTCTAAGAGACAGAGTAGGATTGAAGAAAAAACATAACACATATATGAATGGTACTATTAATATCAATGATGAAGAATGTAATTTAACTATAAATATCTCTATTGTCATTACAACGTGATAAAGACAATTGTAATTACATCATGGCTGAGCCGTAAGCTAAGCTATGTAAATATTTATAGCGCTGTTATGATGATGGATAGGCTAGCTAGCTGAAACATGTAAACCAATAATAAAACCATGGAATCCAGATGTTGATGCTCCATCTTCTCTGTCATTGGTATTTACCTTCCTTGATGGGCTCTATTGAATTCTGTGGGGTATCCGTCTTTGATTCCTTCATGATCTGATCCATGACTTAAGACAACCAGGACATTGATTCTCTCCCACTCTGTCAGGATTTTTTTTTTATTTCGTATCAATCTTTGGTATACAGACAGTACAGAATAATGAATAGGATACTCAGTACTGCTGTATTTTGGTTCTTCTAGAACTTTACTTTCCATTGTCTAAACTAAGGGTCAAAATTAGGAAAATCCAGAAAGAAGGGAAATTGCGGATAACCAGAACCACTTGAAGGGAAGATTGAATTAAATTAACATTCAGGTCTTACTTTTCTGTCTTGCACTTGATAGAGTATTTGTAGGGATAAAAAGTCTTATTTCCAGCACTGACACTACAGTGATTTTGGAATCAGAGATCTTTTTTTTAATACCATCTTTCCCCTAACATTATGAAGTATTATTTTGTTAAGGTTTCTAGATGCAGGTTTATATTTCGGATATGTGAGTTTTCCTTTGTCCCTAGAGGTGTGTCCATTGATTCATAATGTATGCACATTGATCCCTAGATGTATGCACATTGATCCCAACATGTGTGTATTTGATATTGTGTAGCCCACCTGGCATTGGTATAACAATTTATCCGTCTCTGAACTTCAACTTTAACATACTGTTCATTTTTGTGATAGCTTAAACCAACCAATGTTTCAACATTTTGATTTCATATGTATGTTCATTTAGACCTAGACAAGCAAATGCATCACATCATAGGTAAAACTTCAACGTCACTTTTTGAAATTTAAGTCTCCTCCAAATTTTGTCATAAATGCAGGTTTACATTGTCATCAGTCATGAGGATTCTTGTTGTATATAGAAAATGCCTTTTGTGGTAATTTCCAATTTATAATGTTACTTTCTGATAATGACTTTCTTTATTCCTTTATTTGTATACATTATGCATTGCATCTTTAAGTGTTCTAGGTACTTTGATTTTATCAGAGCTGTGAAATGAATGAGATTAATACATGGATGAGACTTTTGATCTTTTATAACAAACAGATTCCTATAGTCAGCTATTACATTAATATTTTATTAAGATTAGCTTATACTCAGACAATTCATGATCTAAATCAACAGATGTGACATATAGAGGTAATGCAGACTGATTACACATGACACTCGTGGAATGGAAGTCAAGGATTAAAGAGTTTTGAACTGTTGCCTATTATTGCTGAAATCTCTAAGGATTGCCTTTTCATGCTGTCCTGGCAGGCATTGATTAGTATGTCAAGCCTCTGGTACCTGCACGTTACTTTGGTGATGGAAGTAATATGGCGTTGAACTGTTATTGGTGTGATAAAGTGGAGGTGGCAGATTTTGTCTACATTATTGTGTTGGTAGTACTTCTCTTCACGAAATGTGGGTGTGGATGGCTTGTTTAGAGTGATGTAAGTTAAAGCGTGGGTGTACTGCTCCAGCTCTGGACAAAAAACACAATGGTGTATAAATGAAACAATATTGCCAGACTCCAGAATATATCAGTATCATGTCAATATTGATACAGGTTATATAGAGTTAATTTACATTGATAGAAGTAAAGTTGTCTAGCAGGGAAAAGATTGATTTAATGGATCCAAGTGATATGTTATATAAGGTGTATTTAATGAGTTTCATTTCTTCTGAAATTCATGAAACTGGGTGAAGAATTATTTTATCAAGCCTTTTGTAAGGTTAATGAAAAAAAATAACAAGTTTCATAATTAGTAAGATATAAAATGGAAATGATGTTTGTATAATTTTTCTGAAGTTGTTATGAAATCTTAATTTCACTCCATAATCCATCTTTGTAAATTTGTGATGTCACTAGCCATGTAGCATCAAGAGTTTGTGTAATAATATATATAGCAATTCTCTCCTCATGGGCTATAAGTCTATCCGGTAAGACCATAATGGCCCTTCCAATTAATGTGAGGCCTTTAAGGTCAGCACCAATAACATGCTGGGATCAAAGTTATCAAGTTTGTTCTAATGAATGACCTTCACCCATTTTGAAAGTCACATGAGTATGTTGGAATATAAAGTGTTTCTGAGTAATCCAGAAGCCTGTAGTTCTTATGTTTTACCACCAGCATCCTGGGATGATGGATTATCTAGTTAGTGCAAATAGATGACTCTGACTCACTTTTAAATATTTAAATAGAATTTGAATTACCTAAAAGCCAAACGTTATGATATTGGTTTAGTAGCCTATTCTAGGTATTAAGGTGTTAAGTTGGAATTAATATGAAAGACAGAAATCAACTGTAAAAAATTGCATGAAGAGAACATTTTAACAAAGTTATCTGTTGATATACTGTATAAAACCAATCTTCTTAAGAAAGAGAATGTTGTCCACTGAGAGGTTTAAAAGGCTGTACTATTGGACATAAAGCCGGTCAGATATATAGATAAATGATGAAATAGAAAGAGATGCCTATTTAAATTATTTCTGTATTGCTAAAAGTGCTGAAAAAGTGGAAACATTTGGATATAATTAAACTGTTATTACTTTAGCATTGAGATCTTCAGGGAAGTATACTAAGCAGCATTTTGTTTCAATTTGAGTGTTTAAGATTAACTCTGAAATCTTTGTACAAATTGCTTTAGAAAATGAGTAGAGAAAGAAAATGATACCTGATTGCAAATTGGTAACTTTTAGAATATCATGTTTATGATTGATGTTGTGAATCTTAGAAATGACACTCAGACTGCTTGATCCAAAAATTAGTTTTGAAAGAACCAAGATAGATTTTTCATGTCATTGAATACATATTAAAACCGAATCGTATTATGATTTTCTTAATTTGATTGTTTTTGGAGTTTTACACAAATAAGGTTAACCATCTAACAATTGCCGACCTATACCCATTTCATTAGCACACATATTGTTCCCAGCTTAAACAATCAATACACTAGGGAAGGTGAAAGAAAAACTACTTTCTTTTCTCAGCTTCTTCCATTACTGACAGGAAATCAATGGATATTTTAATTGATGAGAGATACAGTCATGGTGAAAATGAAATGGTTGAGAATTTGTGATTCATTTACCAGGGAAACACATACCCTGTATATATATCTATAGTTATGAATTCGATGAAAGCTTTTTAAAGATAAATCCTTTTTACAGAGTTGACAGTTACAAATATCTTCCTTAAGTGTATCATATTTCATAAGTGGCTTTGACTTTGATTTTATTATTTATTTAAAAGAAAAATGTCTATTTTGGGGTTCCATTTGAGAATTTTGAAAGGCTTTGCAATCATCCTAATTCTCTTAAATGGTTTTCAGTATATTCCTAGCGATACATTTTAGGTGGAATGTAGGAAAATATTTTCCATCCTTAATTTACTTACTTAGTAATCTAAGATATTAGACATAAACATATAAGCAAATGTTACATTCTCAAAGCTATTCATAGTTCAGCATTATACACAGAGCTCAAATGTGACCTGAAATCGTTACCCTCCAATAGAATTTCTGTTTCTCCCTATGATCTCTAGTCAGACATTTTGGTCAGAAATAGTTTAAGGAGTTGACAAAATTGCAGATACAATAGGTTAGATTTTCGAGATAATGTATAGGTTTCACAGACATTTTTTTTTAAAACCAACAAAGAAAAAAATTGACTTGTGGACAGAATCTTAATTCAAACACTCATTTTATGAAAAAAATGACAAAATAAGAACAAAAGAAAGAATTACAAACAGACTTTTGAATAAGTATAAGGAGAATAAAAAAGGTATTCTGGAAAGGTAGGAACCTTTTGCATCATCAATGATACCCGTTCCCAAATGAGAGCCTGGTAAACTACAACAGAGTCACTTGGCATACTAATGAGCACTAAACACGTCCAGCTTTATATTGCAGAAAGAGTAGAATATTTCCTAAATAGATCATTGTCACGACCATAAACTTCCCCATAATCTTCATCAACCTGCCTCTCTTAAAACCCTGTTTTGTGTGTTTTTCTTTCAGTTGCTTACATTTTGCGTGGTCTAAGTTGATCATTTCCATGAGGCAAATCATCAAATGTTACGTTGTTTTGTTGACTTCAATACTGTATCATTTTGAAATGACATCACTTCTCAGGTATTTGATAAGTGAAGTAAAGATATCAGGTGACCCAAACTCTCAGTGGTCGTAACCCCTGGAATTCTGAGGATAGCAGTAACAACAAAGAATTTCCCTCATAAACCTTGAATTTTTTTCAATTTTTCACTCTCAGGCTTGAATAACCTATTTTATGTCTGTACCTTGCCGCAGGCACAGCCAAGATTCTGTTAATCGTGTGGGTGTTTCACATGGGAATCATACCAAACATACAAAGATGTATTGGTTAAATGTCATAATGAACTATATTTTTGTCTACTTTCAGTTAACTTCGACCATTTTCAAATTCTCCGAGCTATTGGAAAAGGAAGTTTTGGAAAGGTAAGCATTGTCAGTATAAATGAAAAACAGTACTATTTGGAAAGCTGGAGTGTTTTAGGGAAAAATAACTTTACAAATAGATTAAGATATGAATGAAGTGTAGATCTCCTAGGTGCCAATGGAAATTCCCTGCCATAAGTAAATAAGGACAAAACAATTACCTGGTAAAGGATTTTGAGGACATAACAAATTTTCGATTTGATAGGTTATCAATAATTCTTCGTGAACAATATTGAAAATATTTTGATACCATTTGTGGAAATTATCCCTGGTGTGTAACATGATCAGCCAACATGAAGTTTGAAATTTAGACACTTCTGTAACTGAATTCTCTCTGCTTTTTCTGATATAGTTAGCGGATATATGTAGTATACTTGTTTTATGCATATACCGGAAATGAGATCATGAATTTTTGTTTTAACACAAGATTACTTGTAATTTTATTACTTGAAAACCAAAATTCATTATCTAATCTCCAGTGTATGTATAAAAAACAAACACTATTCCCACTCTAAAGTCATTTTAGACTAAAAATCATGTCATTATCGCAACATCAACAAAAACGAACAAAAACTAGGAACTGCACAGTTTTTTTTGAAACAGTCACTCACTTATTCTTAAGAAATAAAAATGCTTCTTTCAACCACTGATGACATAGAAGCTCCACCCACTTCCTTGGCTGGTGTTGATAGAGTTAGATTCAGGATGTAGATCGAGGCATTTATAAAGGCTTAGAATGCTTATCAGCATGGAATATCTGTCTAAATTGTTGATAATATTGATTCCATGTATACTTAACCAAAATTTTTCATGAAGCAAAAGATATCATTGAGAAGTATCGAAAAGAGACCATGATGTGTTTCTTTCAGATTGAGATATATGTATCATTCTTTATAGAATTATTCAGTAAAGGTTGGAAACAATACCATTTGAAATGATTACATTTAATTATATTATTAAATACAGTTGATCCCTGAGTTGAGAATATTTCCTAATGTAAAGGTTATTGTCTTGACATTCTGACACTGCCGACAAACTCACTTGAAGAGGAGAGAAGTGAATCTGAATATGTCACAAAGAATATCATTATCATACTCTTGACTTCACATTTTGATGACACATTTTATCATGTCATTATCATGATGTTTTTCCAATGTCGATGTCAATCTTCTGTCTCAACTGGAAAGATGGACACCATCTTTTGGCCATCGTCAGAATTCATGAGTATATCGGGGATTAGATCATGAAAATTATCCATTTTAAAAATGTGTTACATAACCATTACTTTACTTTTTTAATGTAATTTAGTTATCATATTACAATGCTAACTTCAACATAAAATGTCTTTAGCTAATGAGTCTTAATTTAGTTGCCAATATTGCACAAATTTCAAGGACATTTTCACGCTTTCCCCCAAAATATGATTTTTGCCTAAAACAGGACAAGATGTTATATGATGCAGCTCTTTCAACACAGCATTAATTATCACAAAGCCACTGCTGTAATTTTCTGTAAAGTCCACTTATTGAATATTGGATCGTCATTGATAGGTACATTGGGTGCATCTATTTATAATATGTATTAAGAAGTGCTATAGTTAAGTAGGGTGACAATAGCAACAAGCTTAGGGTAAGTTAATATAAATTATTTATGTATTGTCGACTGGTTTCGCCCAGAACTGTGGGCTTCATCAGGACACTCAAGTAAGAAAATTTTCTCCTTAAGTACTTAAAATGTGGGGGTATATTGCGATGTTAATAAAGGGGGTCATTTGTGACCAGTTCATAGGATCAGGTTGTCTAGACACATTGTAGAGGTAGATTCTGACTTGGTTGGTTTGTATTCCAGATTAACATCTACTACACCGTTTTAATAGTTGACTCTGAAAGATGACTTATGTCCTGTAATCTAAACTATGACATTATGTATGGTGTGGTCCGGTGACATGAAATGTCCAGCTACATATGTAAGATGGAAGTTGGAAGTTTGCAAAATTACATATTTGGGAGAAGGAATGTAATTGATACATTTATGACCACTATTAAAACTGAAATGTATAGTTTGATATGTTCAGGATATTTATGTTGTGTCATGAGATTTTTATGATTGATAATTAGATACAGAGGTTTGAAGCATGCAGCGGTTACCGTAAATCTTAGTAAATACCTGATAAACATAAAAATGAACAGGCCTTGGAGCAACATCACTAATCATGTCTCAAGAGGCTCTCTGTTTAATTGTTTTAGTAATTAGATTTTCTTCTCATGATATTGAATTAGAATTAAAGCGGGAAGTGTGACTTGCTAATGAGCATTAATTAATGGTGTCATTTATTATCAAATTAGTTAAAACTGCCTTAATCTTCAAGGATATTTTGACAGCTGTCACCAAACTTTTTTCTTGGTCGTCAGGTGTTGTTGCGTTTTCTCCTGAAACAGAAGATCAATGCTAGTTCCATCATGTATCTAATCACTGATCAGTAATATGCCTTTGTATCTTTAAGGACTTCAATCAAACTTTAAACAAAGGTCAACCATGGCAATGAGATAAGCATGTGTTACAGGGTACACTGATGTCAATGTCAAGGTCAATGTTGTAGAAAAGCAAGACAATTAGCACTTAGAAGTTAATCATGCAAAATCACAATTTTAGAATGAATGTACAGCAATGTAATTTACGAACCTTATGTTTTATAGTTTATATATGACAAGGAATTATCATCATGCAGTTCAAATATTAGACAAGAAATGGTCAGTATTAATTACTCCCTGATATATATTGGCATTTCAGTGTTAGTCATGTAAGTTATTTTCTTTAAAATATCATTCAAATTCTCTATCAACTTCAATACTATTTGTATGTGAAAATAATGTTTACGGATCGGTAAGAATTACCTGGTACCTAGTTTCTTCTGATTACTTTTACATAAAGATTTGGCTGAGACACCACTCATATACACACAGGGTCAATGAAGTGTTGAGAGTACCTTGGGGAACACTTCAAGTGAGTTATAGCATACCATAGTTGGCTTTGTGATCCACTATGTATAATTGTTTCATCATACAGCACTAAAATCATCCATTAAACGATGCATGTCACCTACTACATTACAAATATAATGTGTAATGTGTAGATTTTTTTGGTTGCTTTTGAGAACCTAAATAAGTAAAATGCAATGAATAAGAATTCAACTGCAAGATCTATATTAGATTGGCTACCAGACCTTTAAGTTTTACAAAGAATTTAATAGCTAAATTCTTACATTGGCTTTTTCACCCCCCTGGTTTGAAACTCTAAAAGAAGGCATGTCAAAGAGATAGGAATAAATTTTATTTATTAGGTCATTTGAATCGAAGGGTCATGATGACCTACTGCTATTGTGTGCCATGATTCCATTGTCATGAGCCATACCCCAGGCACTGACCATTAACTTTTCCTTTAAAACACTACTCCTGCTGAACACCTGGACAGATTTCAACCAAATTTGGTCTGAAACATTACTGGGCGTAGGTCATCAATTGTTATATTCAGAAAGTTGATTCTACCCCAAGGGATCTTGGAATGAGGCCTTAATAGGAAAATTAGACAATACTTTGCTTCAAAACATTGCTTCTCCTTAAATGGATTTCATTCAAATTTTTTCTGAAACATCATTGGGGTGGGCAATTCATTCTTAATTCAGAAAATTGTTTTGACCCCTTGGGACTTAGTTTGTTTCAAAATGCTACTCCTCCTTAATTTCAGGATGGATTTCACCCATATTTGGCCTGAAACATTATTAGGGAATGGCAATGATATCAAACATACATGAAGTGATCCTGAGATTTTCTTAACCAAATCTTATCTTTCGGTTTCATCCAAAATTCAACATAATTCATCTTGAACAAATAGTCTGAACTGCTTCTCAAGTTTCATTCACACAATTGAGGAAAAGAAACAGATGATATGTTGTTATTTTTCAGTCTGGTCAAAACTAGGAATGTTCAAAATTTAAATTCATCAGCTTTATTAGACCACAATCAGCAAATTCTGTGGTCTGTCTATCCATCTGTCGATTGTCAGATGACTTTTAAGGGCCATTGCCCTTTTGTACTTTAGATATTCTGGAGACTGGGGAGCCAGTCTATATCTGTGTGTATGTAGTAAAGCGTTATCCACAAAAAAGGAACTTTTCTGTTGAAGAGTATTATGAAAGTTGGTGTCAGTAGCCCTTGAGATTGTAGAGTGTCTTCAACTACAGTTTGCCTGGTAAATCATTATAGACACTATGTAATGTTCAGTATGTATTGTTGAAGACAGTGTGAGCGGTCCTATTTGCATTTTGATGTATAAGCTGATAGATGACAGTTTCAGTTCTGAAATTTGATTCACATCCATCATGATTTTATTTGGTATTAGTGAAAAAGGCCATGTATAAGTGTGCTTGATAATGAATGGCATGTCATCAACAGTAGAACATTGAATCTAATAGACAGTGTCACCAATACATTCAAGGTTCAAGCTTATGTGGTAGACAGTGATGGATGCATGTGTGAAGAGAACATATGATGGCTTACTGACTTGGATATCTCTCACCACTTTGCACAGTAGAACAGTTTATATTTTCTGTTCATTTAAATGAACATCTGAATATGGTGAAGAGAAAATAGCAGCGGAATGGAATTAATAAGTTTTAAAAATATAAATATCTGTAGGTCACCTTATCCAAAGGGTTTTAGGGACCTATATGCGGGGCCCCAAAAAAGGGAATTTAGGCATTATTTTCCTTTAAAATCCTACTCAAATGGCTTTAGTCAAATTCCTCAGAGTTAACAATAATTTCTTCTGTGTGGCATTTTGATTTCACCCCAGATGATTCAGAGGTGGGCCCTAAAGGGGAGAGTTATCTTAAATTAGTTTTAAATGCCACACTTCTTTCATGCCGTGCTGGATTTGATGACACATCAGGGAACAGGATCATGGCCTCCAGAAGGACAACTTCAGCTAAGATTACTCTAGGTCTACTCCTCCCTCATGCCTTTAAGAATAGGGACTGAATAATTTTGAATTATTCTTCAGGAAAAACAATCCAGTCTTGAATTTATAAAGGTTATTGGACCCCTAGGGACAAGTCTTCAACTCAACAAAAAAAATCACTTTCAAATGTCATATATTCCTAATGCTCAAATCAATTTCAATGTATTTGCTTAAATCATGTTAAGGGAATGGTTTTCTTACAGAATGGTTTGATTGTCAGTTGACGTTTAGGGCATGGTGACCATCTTGTTCTTTTTTGAAATAATGTTAATTTACCTAACATGTAGTTTGTTGTGAATCTACATGATATAAATTTTAAACCTTTCATAAATCTATTACGAATTTTATTGTTAAGGTCTTGAATGTTTGATTATGAGAAGGCTGTGTAAGTAAAAATTATTAGCTTGTTTAAATTCATTGACTGGATCACATGTGTATGTAGCTATCTTAACTTATCCTAGCAAATATTTCTTTCAAAAAGAAGCACCATTACACACCTTGTTGGATTGGTTGATTGCAAAGTGGTAAAGTAATTGCCTTTCACTGAGAGGTCAGGGGTTAGATTTCTGAATAAAGCTAAAAATGTATAGTGACAATTGCGGACAACATGGGTTATCCCTGGGTACTCTGGGTTTCTTCCACAATAAGACTTCATGTGAGCTTCCATCAAGGCCAACAAGAGCGATTAATATAAGTTGAAATAACTTGCATGGCAATTTTCATATGCCCATCAAAAAATTTTGATGCAATGTATTATAATATGGCATTATCTGTTGAACCATTTGTCAGAAACTTTTATTTGTCAATAAATCTCCCAGTTTTCAGGTCTTTTTCAAAATTAGTAGGCTTTGATATAATCACCCTGATCTGATGTTGTGTTTTCCTGAATGACAATTTGATTTGACTGTATATAGAAGAGTTACCGCCTCTTGTCGTTTTCATTATATGAAATTGAGATCTTCTCTTTCAGTTTTCAACTGGTCTTTTTCAAACTTGTAAGGCTAAATCACTATGACAGGAAGTTGCATTATTCTGAATGATGATTGGATATGACAGTAATTGGAAGAGTTACTGCTCCTTGTTGTTTTCATAATGTCAGTTTTGTCTGATGATCTCAGTTTTCAGCCGATTTCTTTCTTAGTAGGCTTAAATTACCATGACATGAAGATTTTTTTTCCTAAATGTCAGTTTGATTAAACTATATTTAGAAGAGTAACTGCAAACTTGGTAGGTTTTATAGTTATGACCTGAAATTCTCTGTTTTTCAAGTATAGCAGTTGTAATTAGAATAAACAACTTTTAAAGGAGGTATTGACCTTGTTTTTTTGTTTGTTTTCTTTTTCGTATAATTTCTTATTCAGATATTTTCTTTTGTCAGTTTTTAATCAATTTCTTTGCAACTTGTGCTCTTTGGAGTAGGAAAATGTACTTATGAACAGAATAGGGACAGAGAAATGAAACTTCAGTAATAGAACAAGGACAAAGAAAAGAGAGATGGAACTTGATTTACAGAAGAAGGACCAGAAATCTTTGATTAACCTTAAGTAAGAGAACAATAGGAGTTGATGTGTAATTAACTAATTGTAAATAACAGAGAAATTGAAAGGGAGATGGATCTTGCTGTCTTAGAAAAGGAAACCAAATAAATGATGGGCCTAGATGTGATTTGTAAACACATGTCTGAAGACCTTTTACAAGGTTGACTTACTTGGATATATGGTGATGCTGTATATGTTGTATTGGACAGGACAATAAAAATCTGTACAATGACTGGCCATGGGCAGCTGAATGGACAGCTAATTACATTTGTCCTCAATCAGGAGCTGATTATGTCTGGAGAGAGCAATAAGGATAGAGTAAATGATCCTCAGCAACTCTTGACCTGGATTACTCGCGTCATTGAATCCTAGTTTGTCACAGATAAAGCCTCCTTGGATCAAGACAAATGTTTTAATATAGTACCCACAAACTGCTGCAAATTGCATCCTTTTTCAACAAACTATAACTGGCAATACATTTTTTCAAAATTTAACACCAACAAAAATTTGTATTTAGTTCATACATTTTCAGTGTACTTGCATTACATGAAATATTGTGATAATTCACATTCAAGCTGCTTTCTTGGGTGAATTTTCAACGAAAATGTTTTTAAGTACTTTAAGTTGGTTAATATGGTTCAGGATTTAGCAATATGTTACATGGTAATAGATTCATAAAATCACAATGTAGATTAATTGGTGATTATTCAAACCATTATAATGTAATAGCTAGGACTGCATTCAAAGCTGCTTCATGTAATTAAGATATCATTTACTGTGGATTCATTTATTTTCGTTGGGTTCAATTTTCGTTGTTTCTACAAATTAGACAGTTTCGTGGACTCATAAATTCGTGGATTTTTGATTCTGTGGGAAAAAAATAAAAACGTTAGAATTTTCTCTTTTTGCTTCCAGTCGAAATTATTTCTGTTTGTATTAAGGCTATGTTCACAGGAATTAACACTAATGACAAGAATAAAAGAACGTTTTTTTTCAAGATGGCGTCCTGTGTTTTTATAACGCTGTTTACAACAGTCTCGCATTAATATCAAACCACAAATCAGTATATATCCTGGCGTGTAATCAATCGGTAATTATCAGAAACAATTGTTTTCAGTGGATAAACATTGTGTGCTGATCAGTCGGTGTACCGCAGTCATATGAAAACACCACGCGTAACGATTGGACCATGTGTGTAAACAGGTGTGTAAACAAGATCTGCATTATTAATAATTATTGTGAACCTGTAGTCGGATAGAAATACGGATCCAATCTTCAATCGACAGGATGGTCCGATCAAGCCTAGTGTCCACAGTGTCGCTAACGACTGCGATCCCATCATACTTAGCATCACAATGGGTACTTACCCTTTGTTATGTTTAATAATATATAATTATATATCGTTGACACCAATTTAGCGTATCCATGTCGAGCCTCAGACTACCCGACTCCCGACTAATTACGGGGCTTCTGTCATTACCGGTGGACGTTTCCGGTGTCGGCAAAGATTACTTGGTCAAATTTCAAAATTACTTTAGTAAGTAGTTCATATTTCGTTGTGTTTTTAAATTCGTGGATTTGCTCATCCACGAAAACAACGAAAATTGGACCCCCACGAAATAAAATGAATCCACAGTATAATGTGTTTATTTTAGTAATATACAAACATTTAGTGTTTTAACCAATGAGTACTAAAACGGGACAAGTTGTGAAAGGTACTGTTATATTTTATGGAAGGGGGATTTACTTGCCCAGAGAGGGCTTCACAATTAAAACACTTGTTGTTAATAAAGGTATAAACTGAAAGACTTTTATTTGAAATCATGAACAGATGCCAAGTTAATCATCTTTGATGACAGATAATACGACTTTAAATCTTGGATTTGGAATACACGGTCATAGCACAGTTTATGAGTTTGTCTAAAAAGCAACAAACATGTCATGCACAAAAGCTCAGTAGTGACATCATTGAGCAATGGACTGATTTCTTCTCCAATGTAGTCACACTGATATAGTCAAAAATATATCAAAGTCATCATTGAAAACAACAACAGTAATGATCAAACAAATAAATTTGTTATATAAGCTATAAAATTTCAAATAAATCTATAGTTTATAAAATACAAAATTTATTGGTAGAGACCTTGTTGTTTTCACATTGGCTAACGTGCATTGATTAAGCCTTCCATTAAAGCTCACATCAAAGATCAAATGTGGCTCAACACCACAAGGTATCAAGTGATGAGAATGTGGCATTTTCACTTAAAAGTTAAAAAGAAGCTGACAACAATGAAAACTTGCTGTTAATATCATTTCAACAACCGCTAAAAGGGTTGATACTGATGATCATGCGGCCTTGAGGAAATGGATTGTTTAAACGACACACAAATATATAGCACCATTCAATACAAATTCAATCAAATGCAGTATAGTTGCCAATTATTATATTTTACTGCATCATCATGTTTTTTGTCTTTATAGGACTTGGGAAGAGCTTATTAAAATGATTAAATAGCATTTGCTAATGAATTCTATTACCAGTCTTGTACTTGTAGAATAAACACCTGTAGTCACCATCAACATTCCCATTATTTTTATCTTAAAATAAAATATTCTGGGTCATCAGAAAAATGATAGAGTTACATTTTCTACTTCTACTTTCTAGGTTTGTATTGTGCAGAAAAAGGACAGCAAGAAGATGTATGCAATGAAGTATATGAACAAGTCAATGTGTATAAAGAAAGACGCTGTAAGGAATGTGTTCCGTGAGGTGGAGATATTAATGGCACTGGACCACCCATTCCTTGTTAATCTGTGGTTCACGTTTCAGGATGAGGAGGACATGTTTGTTGTGGTGGATTTATTATTAGGAGGTGACCTTCGTTACCATATACAACAAGAAGTACACTTTGACGAGTCACATGTGAAATTGTATATCTGTGAGTTAGCTCTAGCTCTGGATTATCTACAGACATACAACATCATCCACAGGTAGGTATCACAATTGATACAAGGGAGGTAACTTTAATTCCACCCGCAGGTTGGTATCACAGATACAAGGGAGGTAAATATAATACCATCCACAGGTAGGTATCACAGATACAAGGGAGGTAAATATAATACCATCCACAGGTAGGTATCACAGATACAAGGGAGGTAAATACAATACCACCCACAGGTAGGTATCACAGATACAAGGGAGGTAAATATAATACCAGCCACAGGAATAAATCACAGATATAAGGGAGGTAAATATAATACCACCCACAGGTAGGTATCACAGATACAAGGGAGGTAAATATAATACCACCCACAGGAATAAATCACAGATACAAGGGAGGTAAATATAATACCACCCACAGGTAGGTATCACAGATACAAGGGAGGTAAATATAATACCATCCACAGGAATAAATCACAGATACAAGGGAGGTAAATATAATACCACCCACAGGTAGGTATCACAGATACAAGGGAGGTAAATATAATACCACCCACAGGAAGATATCACAGATACAAGGGAGGTAAATAAAATACAATCCACAGGTAGGTATCACAGATACAAGGGTGATAAATATAATTTCATCCTCAGGTAAATAGAATTCTTTCCACAGGTTACAAGGTATCACAGATACAGGTGAGGTGTATGTAAAACCATCCACAGGTTACCTGGTATCACAGATACAGTGGAGGTATATATACAGTTGAATCTAATTGTCTCGTAATTGATTGAGTCGAAATTCAGTTTGAGGCAAAATGATTTTCAAGTCCTGATTTTTCCCCTTCTATATCTTTGTATTTTTAGTTCAGATGACTCAAATTTCATTGATTTGAAATTTCGGTTTAGCTGAAGCAGTTTTTCAGTTCCTTCAATTGTAAACCAAGGGAAAAGTCATTCATTGTCTCAAAATGAATTGTCGTCAAAATATTGGCACATCTTCTGTCAAAATCGGTCAATATATACACAGAGTAGAAAGTCACCTGTGCACAACACATGGCTAATTACGGCTTCTTAATTAGTGTCGCCATCTTGTACCAATGACTTACCTGTATGTTAAAAAAAGTGGCACGTTTACACAAAACACTAAAACATTTAGTGTGGGTGAGTGCATCTTGAGGAACGATAAAAAAATGAAACAGTCAAACCAGTACGAACTTTTTGACGAAATCTGATCCCCAGAATTCTGAAATAAACTAATTTTGAGCTTGTTATTTAAAGGACTGTAAACAGGCACTTTAAAAGTTGATGACTTTTGTCGGAGTATGGATCTCAGAGATTGTATTTGGTTGTGACCCTTGTTAGTTATATATACACAATGGATGTCATTTGTAACGTTGTAATGATCATCTGGCCACTGTGACCCTTGTTAGTTATATATACACAATGGATGTCATTTGTAACGTTGTAATGATCATCTGGCCACTGTGACCCTTGTTAGTTATATATACACAATGGATGTCATTTGTAACGTTGTAATGATCATCTGGCCACTGTGACCCTTGTTAGTTATATATACACAATGGATGTCATTTGTAACGTTGTAATGATCATCTGGCCACTGTGACCCTTGTTAGTTATATATATACAATGGATGTCATTTGTAACGTTGTAATGATCATCTGGCCACTGTGACCCTTGTTAGTTATATATATACAATGGATGTCATTTGTAACGTTGTAATGATCATCTGGCCACTGTGACCCTTGTTAGTTATATATACACAATGGATGTCATTTGTAACGTTGTAATGATCATCTGGCCACTGTGACCCTTGTTAGTTATATATACACAATGGATGTCATTTGTAACGTTGTAATGATCATCTGGCCACTGTGACCTTGATCGTGGATTGAGAATGCCTCGCCAACTCATAATCTTGCTTGCCCTTTGACAATTGAGCTAAAAAATCCACTTGCAAGATATCCTGATCAATTACCATTTATACATCAGGCCTGTAACTTCTTACAACAACTGTAATCAACTCCAGGAAACTGATATCATCAACTTTATATACTTCATTTGAGTCGAAATACAGATCAGTCAAAATATTTTCCACATTCCCTTGAATTTCGAGATAATGAGTTTTGACTGTAATACCATCGAAAGGTAAATCATCCATAGGTAAGTATCATTTATGGTATTTATCTCTAGAAACTAGCATTCCTCTGGGATCCACCACCAAAACCTTGCATGTCCTTCAATGACTGGCTATTAGTAGGACATAAAGCATTAATAAAGCTAAAACCAAACTAATTGAGGTATATATCACAACATTCATAAAGGTATCATACCAAGTAGCTAAATATAACATTATCAATAGATGGATATCATAAGTGCACACATGGCCTCATGCTGCATGGGGATTGGTAGAAGTGATTCAATGAAGGTAGATATCACACAGGGGAGGTAAATATAAGAACAACCTAGGAAAGTATAACACAAGGGAGGTAAATAGAAGATTAACCATAGGTAGGTAACACATAGGGGAGGTAATTTCAAGATCAGTCATAGGTAGGTATGACACAGGAGAGGTAGATACGATGCTATCCATAAGTATGTATCACAGATACAACGGAGGAATGTTAAGGAAATGTATCAAATGTAGAATTGTTTTCTTAAGTAATCAAATGTTACCAGATATTACTTGAAATGATGTTTGCCACATTAGGGTATGTTGAAACAACTTAAGGCTTTCGTGAATAATCAGTTTGCAACAGTTAAGTAAACTTTCTGTGAAATATCAATGATTAGAAACACAGTGTCAATAGAAGGAAGATCTCAATCTATGTCTATATAGGATACAAGTGTCGAGTTAATGCCTTAAACAGCAAAAGCCCTTAAAGTACTTTACAGAAGTGGAAGCTTGTATCAGATCACAGCACTGTATTTCCGCAGCTTAATGTTTCTGGGACTTTTTTACAGTATCAGATTTTGTGTGCTTTCCTGTTCCTATAGACAGATTCCAATCAATCTTGAATCCCTTAAGAGAGGCTTCTGGTCCTCAAACTGAAAATTCATCAGTCTGCTGAAGTTATCTTTTAAACCTGAAGAAACAGTGTTTTTTTTTAGTAAGAACTATTTCCTTGTTACTTTATCTATCATCCCCCAAATTTCGAGGAGTACTCTATAGCTGAAAACAAAGATGAAACTTTAATTCTCATGGATCGTTTTTCATGACTGTACTTTTACAAACACTGAAAAAAATGTGGTTCACTTTTTGTATGCCCTCCAATATTGAGTTCACACACTCAGCAGACCAGCTTATTTAAAAATGACTATCCAAAATATGACCATGCTGATGAGCACAAAAGTCTAAATACTTTTTTAAATATATATCAAGCATGTAGGGTATGTGCTTGTCATTGTCTACAATGTTTGGCTTCCTGAGGCATAATCTTAGACTGTCTCATTAAATGGTATCCCTTTTTGTCCACTGTCTTCTGTCTGTAAACTTTTTACAGTTTTGACATCTTCTTCAGCAGAGCCCTTGAACTGAATTCAACGAAATTTTGCAGAAACCTTTCAATGCCATAGGTGAACTAAAATTGTAAATTATATGGTCCCCACCCCAAGGGACATGACGGGAGGGGCCAAAAAGTGGTCATATTGGAAATTTTAAAACCTTTCTTTTAAATGTCCAAGTATGGTAGACAAAAATTCTCTTCAAGGATGGAAGGGTCTAAAGGTGCTTTACCAAATTTGTAGATATATTACCCAGGGATAAAGTTTGCTGTAGTTTATATGAGAAAATTACATTTTTGAGCTTAATTGGTTTATTTTTTATTTGAAATACTTCAAACTTGGTTTGAATTATTAATATGGGATGATAGATTGATGGTGTGCACATGTATGCCCTAGCTGACCTCTTGGGGCTAATGGGCAGGACCAAAGTTCAAAGGTCATATTCACTGAAATTACCATAAAATCTTCTCAGTAATATGATATATAGAGATATGGATGAAAGGGTCTTTATAGAAACATTGCATAAGTGTATAGGAAAATGAAAGTGTTAGCATGGAATGTCAGTTAATGTTATGTACATTCTACAATGTAGTTCAAGTTTTCTTACTTTGTTAATAAGATTATTTCTATGACATGCTACAAAAACAATAACAGCATTGTAACTCAGGTGACCGTTCAGGCCCTGGGGATTCCTGTCGACTCGTAGTACGGGTATTAAACTTTGGCATTCTAAAATCTTGTAAGTGAGGTTTGAAATGATAAGCCATCAAACATTGTTTTGAAATTTTTACATTCTTCATAATGTTCAAAATGTCAGATGTATAAATCAAGTTACCTCTTTCAAATACCTGATCATTTTCATGATATTACAGTTAATTAGTTAATCAATTCATTTAGTATATTTTGAATGACAAAAAATTCAAACCAAAACATAATTAGTCATGAGTTCAAAGGCATTATGCTTATTCACTTGCTTGATACAGCTATGATCAGAGACTATTTTTCAGTCATACAATAATTGTTCCAGATGTTTACATGTTTTCAGTACAATAGAGTACATTTTATATCAAATCACATCAACATACTAGCAATGTAATTTTCACTGTTACACTGATGAACAATTGACCTCTCAGATTTTGCATGCCTTAATAGCCATATTAAAACTAAAGCATTAATATCGGAATGCTACAATAGGTAATTTGATAAGAGCATTTGAAATTGATGTAAACTTGTGACAATAAGGATTAATGCATTCTTCTGTTTTACAGAGACATTAAGCCAGACAATATCCTCCTTGATGAAGAAGGTAAGATATAGTTAATTGTCTTTGTGTATGCTGAATTTTTATTACTTGTGTCAGAGTAGCTATTTATCTGTGCATTGATAACCAGACCTATTGTAACTCTCTACAACTGACCAGTTGTTCATCTTTGAATATTTTCAATACAGAGATTCAAAGTTACTTTGTTTATGTTTATGACACCTGTTGAACATTAAGTAAGGTGCTGATGTTTTAGGAGTTCATATTTTAAGTATAGAAAACAATGGTTTCTTTATTTTAGTGACTTTGTAAGGCAGAGATTGGTACAATGTCTAAATCATTGGATGTAAAATTAAATAGAAGTAACGATTACTTACTAATTTTGCATCCACATACTAAACATGACCTAAGTTCACTGCATTTGATGCATACATACATATACATACACATACCAAGTACACAGATGTGTACTCTACATTTTTGGGGATTGTCTCAAAGATAACATTGGCTGACATTTACTAGTACAGGAAACGTATGCACAGTGGTCACAGACTGATACTCTTATACACGAGATGTATGATTATTACATACATTGCTGGTAAAAATATAACTAAATGAAATGATAAGCATTATGCAATATCAAATATGTTGTTAATACATAGATGCCACAATGTTGATTGTTAAAACATTGAAAATGTGAAAACACAATGTATGACATATATGTATTTATGTCAGGTGCATTGTAGTCATCACATACAACAATTGCTGATTCATGTAAATGAGAATGAATTGCAAATTGAAAAATGCTAGTACTACAATTTAAGACAAAAGTAGAGAAATGTAAGTCTGTAGCATTCTAATGTGCAACTCTCACTTTTCTATTTGCAAATCTGCATTTCTCAATCATCATACTGATGAATCTATAAGCAGCAACTAATGAGGAGAGGTGATAGCCAAATCAAAGAAAAGAAACCCAAAGAAACTTCATTGTATAAAATAAGGGAAAATTTCACAAACATAATGATGGGAGAAAAAAAATCCCTCCAAAGGTGCTTATTGCAATAAAGGTTCAATCAAATTTATTTGTAGCAACAATGATTAAAGGAATTATTTTGCAAAACCCTGTGTTGGTCTTATTGTTTGTGCATGTTTTAACTTTAGATACAACCCCTAGCAACTGTACAACATATGTGAGTGTTTGTAGTATGTCTATATGAAGAACTGTAGATCTATACTGTGCCAGGCTATTGGTCCAAATAATCAAGGCTCCTATCTTGGTGCTGCCATGGGGTCAGCTGGTCACCACACTACACCACACTTACATTCACTGAAGACAGTAGACAGTAACTGGATTTGTGTTGAGTTTTTGTAGTGCGCAGACAACTAATATCATTGTCCTTAGGATACTTGAGAAATTGCTCACTTAAAATACATTTACTCCCAGTGCTGTTAAGGACTCGTGGCAGAAGAGCTAACAGTAGTCTTTGGATGAATGTTTACTAGTTATCATGATGATGTGAATATACAGATGGATCAAGGATATGGAACCGAGTTGGATGGTATAGCTTTTACTGGTAGTTCAGTATTTAATATCGGACATAAGTGGCCTGGTGATGAGTTGATCCCAGATGTTTGGCATTCCATATAGATTTCCTGTAGTATTATTAGAATCACCAAATTAGGCTGAAATCTTTGGTGTAGTCTTGTTAGGGGACAAAAGTGCAACCTTAGGCTTAAGGCTTTGGTGTAGAGTTTGGAGCATTGTAATCGAACTTTGGCTAGTGTCACCAAAGTTCGGAAACATTAGGGCTATGCTTACAAAACTTGGGCTTAAGTTTTTTGTGTAAAGTAAGTTGCCTTCTTTCTTCATTCTTAATCATATTTCTTTGCTTCTCTACTCAAAGACAAGACTAAGAATTACAAGCCATGATACTACTTGGTGAGAGTAGTTAATCTTAGGGTTCTCCAGCTGGATATGATTTCCTGTGCTACATTGTACTACAAAAGAAGGAGCCTAAGCATCTCTTGGCTTCTGTGAGACATATAACACTGTTAAAGGTCTGAATGTGTTTTATCAGCACCCTGAACTTAAAAGACAATCCTAATTTTGAAACTTTTCCGAATTTTACTTTCAACATATCAGTAATACATCATAGTACAGTATACTCAAGTTTTATGATATGCACATTTTCATTTGCTCTATTTTGAACATTTCATTGAGTGTAACATTGTGTCTTTGCCATTAATATGTTGCAGTTGATCCTGATTTCAGAGGTTGATGTTCATGTTTTTGATTCCATGATAACTAGTTTTTTGACAAATTAAATCTGAACTTTGCCTGATACTTATTTCTATTGTTAATTTTTCCCATTGTTTTATTGATCAGTATTCTTTGTCAATACAATGACACTAACTTAATATCTTTGAAATGCATTGTTCTGTTTCTCTCCCTGGTGCATACAGGCATTTGTGTATTAAAAATTTAAAGCACCAGAAAATACATTATTTAGCTGCTTTTGACATATTTTAGATTAAAATTTTGAATTACAAATAACAGATACTTATACAGTACTTCTGTTTAAAACTGGAGTAAATAAAAAGGTTTTCCTTTCAAAATAAGGAAAATAGACATGTCTCCATGGACATGCTTATCTTGTCTCTGAATTCCACTTTTGTAAGTTAATGTGAAATGTTATTTACCTATCAATTCAAAACCAAGATTTTCATTCAGATTATACAGACAAACAGGGACTCTCTGAAATTGGCTATTTCCACAATTTTATCAAATATTCTAAGGTTGAGCAAAGTGAATTAAAGAGGAGTAAATCATCGTGATGACTTTGTTGCGTTAGTATCATGATGGTGGCTATGGCAATCGAACGATGAAACTGACTATGTATTGGATGTTAATGTACGTTTCTAGCAATATTCAGAAAAATAAATGTAATTTGATATTAAATTTTGTTTTAGCATGAAAAAAAAATCAATGAAATTTATACATTGTGATAGGAAATAAATGCTTGATGGTATTCTGGGAATTTGATTTTGCAATAAAAGCAAATATGCAACAGGGTTGATACCGGTAGTTACAATATAGCGAAATATTGATTCAGAGAGAAAATATTCAGCACTACTGAATATTAAATGTGGGCTGTTTATACAATAAAAAAAATATGTGATTTGGGAAAACAGGATTGCCCTGTTTAAAGTCAATTTTATACATGAAGAGAACAATCTTTAATTTCATTGCTTGAAGAGTTCACTTTGTATTTAACATTTGTTGCAAATTTCCATGGATTTCTAATATTAAAGAAGAAGATAGTCAGATATATTGATTAACTAAGAAACATAAATATTTATGCCCAACAAACAATCCTGTTATGCACCATGAATAATGTATTCATTCTCTTTCACTATGTGTTAGGGTAGATGCTGTGGACAATTTTTTTTCCAGCTCATTCTGAATGTAATCCACTTTCAAAAAATTGCATTAACATTTAGAGATATTCCAACATACATAATTGAATAGTCGTACTAAATTAGATCACATTTCTTCATCAATCTGGTATTACATTGATCTCTACTCTGCAATTAGAATACAAAATTTCTGTAGGCTTTCAACCTTGATTTATTCCATACTGCTATTTTGATGTGGTTTTGATTGTTTTTATATCTTAATTTGCTGACCAGACAAATTTCATGCCATGTATTCTGCTTAAATCAATTGATGGCTGGCTGTTACAAACATAATGCATTGGACCTTGTACTCACACTCGACTATAAAGATTATGGAGTTATGGCCCTTTTCTTACTGTTTTAGTCAGTTTCCTTTCTCAATTTTGAGGGGTTTTTTTCAAGTAAAACCAAGAGGAAGTGCTGATAGATTTGAGTGATGTGACACCTCTCAAGAAAAGCCTCCTTAACCATATCTGTCTTAGAGAGCTTTCTGAGGTAGCTTCCACACATAAAGTGTTGGATCTGTAGAGGAGAGTGCATCAACAAAAGGTTGGCAAAGAAGACTGCTGTTTGAGTTAGAGCAAGAGGCTCTTCCACCAGAAACAATTAGAGCTCCAGGAACCAAGACTGCCACAGCCACAGGGGCACTAACAGATGTAGGGAACAGTGATGCTTTTGTCTACATGATTAAATGAGGAAATGCATAGGCATATAGACAAAAATAGACAACTTTTTGTTCAGAGATGTTGTGAACAGGTCTGTTAGTGGCCTATCCTACACTCAACAAATTTCCTTGAAAATTGTATGATTCAACTGCCCTTCCATTTAAACTGGCTCACTGCACTAGGAAAGAGTATCTTTCAGAGCTTTCAGTCTGCTTGGAAGATGCTTGACAAATATAGTCAACTGCATATCTTAGCAAAGAAGAAAATTAGGAATAGCAAGGACAAATAAAATGTGAGATCTGGTATCCCCTGTCTATCCAGATACACAGCAAACGACCACTTTCTCAATCAGCAATGACCATCAAGATAAGCTTCCCACCCTTTTATGGATGAATTAATGAACAGAATCAAAGTAGGAAACATCTTGGACTGGTTCAGAGGAAGCCAAGCTTCCCAATTCCTTGAGGAAAAGACCCAGGTGACCAGCAGAAGTGTTTGGAAAAGTCTGATATTAAGTCTCCCTAAGGGGACTACATCTGAGGTAACCCATGAAGGTAAGAAACCAACATAACTGGATGCATGACCAACCAATGAAGGTCAGGGCAAGAGTTGTTGCCTGCTCATACTTCTACATAGGTGGAATGGCAATGCCCTAGACAGTATTGAAATACTTCCCAAGGAAATTGAAGTCCTTAAATGGGGAAACCTCCGACTTCTCTCAGGGAGAAATGTAGCTGACCTTCAACAAGATTTTAAGAAACAAATGGGTGTCCTGTACCAAAGATTCCCTCACTACATAAAGCATGAGGAAATAGTTAAAATAGATGTGAACATCTGTTTCCCTTAAGTGTAGGAATCCCATGACCAGCAGCTAGGTGAAAACCAAAGTTATAGTCATGAATAGCAACAACAGGCTGGGAAATGAAGACCTGAATCCAGCCACCTGAACAGCATAACCAACCCCAGTGGGACTACTCCTAGGTAACCCAGGACAGGAAACTCCGGGCTGGGCCTTACAGGACTGGGACCAGGTAATTGACTAGAAGGGAAGACTGGACCAACATTTATGCTAATATTAGAGAGCATCACTAATCCCATTGAAAATAGACAAACCAGAAGAGACGTTTGTGTTTGGCACCCTGGGACTTGAACTTGAAGAATTATCATGCCACCAATGCTGCCCCCATCATTGACACCACCTGGTATGCTGGGATCACTGCTAGTGGTCGACAGCCGATAGTCTCTACCTGATATCAAACATGAAGATTTACAGGAGTTCTGGACCAATTCAGTCCAATGCAAAACAATTTGAAACAATGAAAAACAACATAAACTGAAAAAACAAACAACCATAAATAAGGCCAAATACAGTGAGCTGATGTGTAAACTGTAATGGTAGCACACCACTCTGACATGTGGAGGAAAACAAAGTGCCAAAAAAGGCTAAAAAAGCAATTAAACAAGAACAATTGTAATCAAATGGGCAAAACATTGCCAGCTGTACAAAAATTTATCAATCTAAATGGCTGCAAAACCAAGTTGTGAACAGGACTTCGCTGTAGTTGATCAGCACACAGTGAAGAAAGGAGATCACCCTGTCTCTATTGTTTAGTTATGATTCGCATGGTTGTGTTCATTAGGCTACAAATTGGATGAAGGTTCTGTATTTTTGAAAACAAAATATAAGGTAATTATTACTGAAAGAAAAATGAGATATTGCATTTTGAAGTCAATTGACCCATACATTTATACACAAACTTGTCTCCCCTCATTCATTTATCATTGCTCAGATTGCTCCGATTAATGGATTAACTATTATTAACTATTATAAGATAGATTGTATCGACTATTGAATTTCTTTTTTACAGTCAATGTTAGTAAGCCTAGATTGGCTAACATATAACACATTAATCTTTGGAAATTGTTGGTATTTAGTGATGAAGATTAGTTTTCTGAGGAAAAATACAAGAAAAAAAAACCTGTCCATTTACTCTGAATTAGTGACATCCTCAATGTTTACCAGTGAGTGTAGTATATTAGTATCAAATATACTGTATGCATAGTATAGATTTGTAGCTTATGAGATAGTTGTGTCCTGAAGAGAATTGTTAGAAGAGAAGGTGAAATGAGGCATGGGTCAAACAGAAAATCATGAAGTTCTTTACCTTTGTCACCAGCTGGTAGATTGGAAATTAACACTTAGTCTGGTCGATATCTCATACACGCCACAAATCCATTATATACTTGTGTTATATGGACAATTATGTGGTGAGCCCATCAATATGAAATTGATCGAGATCCTACCCACAATGTAATACTAGTTGTTGGAACCCAAATTGCAAATTATTGTCTAGTATCATTGCAGCTTTTTCCATTTTCCCCCTTTATGTAGCTCAAATTGTTTACCTATAATTACATCAAAATATTTCTCAGTTTTATAAAAAGAAATTAAATCTGAAGGATAGACTGAGTGATCGTTATCTGCTACAGCTACATAACTCAGGTTTTTAAAATAGTAAAAGGAAGGACAGGGTGATAGTGGTCAAGTTTGTCTTCAGCTAAAACAGTATAAGGAAGGAGAGAGTGATAGTGGTCAAGTTTGTCTTCACCTCAAACAGTATAAGGAAGGAAATAGTGGTCAAGTTTGTGATAGTGGTCAAGTTTGTCTTCACCTCAAAAAGTATAAGGAAGGACAGGGTGATAGTGGTCAAGTTTGTCTTCAGCTCAAACAGTATAAGGAAGGACAGGGTGATAGTGGTCAAGTTTGTCTTCACCTCAAACAGTATAAGGAAGGACAGGGTGATAGTGGTCAAGTTTGTCTTCAGCTAAAACAGTATAAGGAAGGACAGGGTGATAGTGGTCAAGTTTGTCTTCACCTCAAACAGTATAAGGAAGGACAGGGTGATAGTGGTCAAGTTTGTCTTCAGCTCAAACAGTATAAGGAAGGACAGGGTGATAGTGGTCAAGTTTGTCTTCAGCTATATTTAAGGTGCACCATTGTGTGAAATACATGGCTCAGATTTTAACAGCTAAAGGAAAGACTGAGTGATAGTGGTCCATTTGCTTCATTGCTCAGAATTTTTAAGAACAATATAGGGATAGACTGGATGATAAAAATCCATTTTGTCTACAGTTATAAAGATACATGTTTCTTCAAAGTACATAAATGTTACACACAGCTGCCATATATTCTCATATTATGTAATACATTTTAAAACAAATGTAATAAAAAGACATGTTCTCCTGTTCTGCTGGTATCAATGTTTATTTGGCTAATTTCAAAGAAAATGGTGATAAAGAGGACTTTTTGTCCTCATCTGTCACTGAGTGCTTTCACACTATTATGAACTTGTTTTTATGTTTGCTTTGTCTGACATTAAATCTTTACCTACAGTATATTCTCATCATTTTGACATGTATCCTCACTGTTTATGTTTCTTTAATCATAAATAAGATATTAATATTTGTGTATGTATCGCATATCATTTGAAATCCTAAAAGGGATGGATGGTGTCACCTTCAAATGGTGTGTTTTGTTACACTGGGGCTAAAGTCCTTCGATGTATTTTGAACGAGACCAGAGAATTTTTTAATCATGACACTAACAGTGCAAAAATCAAGAAATTGTTATGAATTTACATATGTATAGTACGATTAAAATCAATCCTTTGATCTGTATTATCGTCTTAATTTTCAATAACTTGATTATCTCCCCTTTTCCTGCCTTTTTTGACAACACTGCACACAGTCCCTTTTATGGTCATTTAATGGTCATGCTATCTAGATTACCCATGAGAAAGGATTAGATGTGCAGTGAACTGTGATAGAAAGTTATCTATAACCCAATACTTTTCCCTTGTGAGAGGTGTGAATTATGCAGTAACCATGACTCAAGTCCTGCAGTATGTTGTGTAACCTTTATGGAATTCTGTTGAAAGACAATCAACCGGAGACTATAGTCCTTCTGTGTTTTGTCTCTCAGGGATCCTGCCACACTCTGCTAAATATACTTTGTATAATTATTGATTAATAAATTAAAGTTTGATAGTGAATATCCCTGCTCCCATTATTTTGAGAGCCATTGATGCTTGTTTGGTTTTGGATGCTTTCTCTTCACTACTTTAGTCTATTTGTAACTTTATCATGATTTTTGTAGAATGTTGGCATATACATAGCAAGCTGTATTTAGTCCACCCCTTCAGATATCTCTATTTCTTTAGAAGTACTGGCTTGATCTTTCTCAGATTTTATTTGTAGTTGTCCCTTGCTCCCCAATTGTGCCCATAGCTGACAGGTGGCCATATTGAATTTAAATGATGAAAGTTTATTATTGCTATTTCTCGAGAAGAAATGGATGTATTTATCTCAAATTTATTATGTAATTAGCCCTTTGTCTCTGTTTTAACCTATTTGATATAGTACTTCTCAAAAGACATAGTACTTCTTGAGAAGTACTGGATGGATCTTTCTCAAATGTCTTAGCTGAATTCCCCTTATTTGTACCTTTCTAATTTTAGGACTGATAAGAAAAACAAAATGGCTGACAGGACGGCCATCTTCAATTATGACAATGAAAGGTTGTTATCGCTATTGTTTGGGAAATACTCAATGGATCTTTCTCAAAATGTCATGTGTAAGTTTACCTTTGTCCTTAGTTGTGCTTGCCTGGTTTTGGTACTGATCAGATACACGAAATGGCCAACAGACTACCATCTTGGATTTGGCAGTTAAAGATTGTTGTTGCTATTTTATAGAAGCGATGTTAAAATTTTATATAATTAACAGCGCAAACAATGGAGAAAAGGAAAAAGAAGAGTAAAGATTCAACTTTTTAAGAAGAAATATAGATCAAACAATTATGGGTGCCAAAATTTTTAAAGATTCCTCTGGGATCTCTTGGTGATTTTGTTGTAGAGTCTGAGTGTCCAGTTTAAATATCATGGAAACCTTTCAAACTACATGAATTGCGAAAGCTCATTTCCACTCTATGACAATTAAAACTCCAATTCTACAAGGCTTTGCCCACTCAGTTGCTAAAATGTGTTGTCTATATGACTTCAACTAAATGTACTTGTGTTGGCCCAGACTGAAGCGTGTGAGGGGTCTTAGTGTGGGAGAAAACTCTAGCACCTGGAAAAAAACATTTGGTTGACCCCATACCTTTTCACATCCAATTGGGGAATCATATCCAATACGCCTACATGAATGTTAAGTGTGCTACCACTGTACCACCCTACCACCCAATACTGTAATCAAAGAATTAATGAAGGGAAAAATATTGGTCCTTGCAGATCCACAGATTACCCAGCAAAACTATTCATTTTTGTAAATCAAATGTGTTAAATAATATACCTTTTCCCCCACAGGTCATGTCCACATAACAGACTTCAACATTGCTACAGTCCTGAGTGATGGACAGCTTGCCACCTCTATGTCAGGCACCACTCCTTATATGGGTATGTATTAATTATTATCATCTAATCCATCATGTTTTATTGAAAATACTTCAAGTGTCCGAGACTCAGCAGGACACGTATCCCTCTTTCTGGGTGGAATCTAGAGAAATTGTGATTGGTTGAGGGGTTTCTTGTCAACAGGACTCAACCTCTGGCTAGATGGAGTATCACCAACGGATGTGTGATCTATCAACATGAGGAGGTGGCCTTTATCTTCCTTCTTGAGATGGAGCTGTCTGTCTGGATGTCAAGATGTTGAATGGTTGAACAGCTCCCACTCATAATGATGCTATCTTGTCAGTTGCATAGATATTCATTTCTGTCATAGTGCCAGTTGCCCGATGACTGTCTGGATGAGTAGTGCAGTTGAGGCTGGGTGGTCAAAGTCATGGCCCCATTCTAGATGGACAAGGGTTTGGGAAAGCACCATCCCCTATATGATAAAGATTTTATTATCACTCCTGTAATTAAAAAGTTCTGTCATTTCGGTTAAAATACTCTCTGCTTTGAAATGGTCTATGCAGAAGAGGATTGGTAAAAAAGGGATAGGTTCCAAGATTAATCCCAGGCAATCTAATTAGAATTTGATGTTTAATTTAACTTGGTTAATACACAGTTAAATTGAACATAAAATTTTAATAAGTTAGATAGGATCCCATGCAAAAAAAAAATGAAAAATAATTATATCTGTTGCAGTGCCACTTGTGGGGACTTTGCCGACACTGCCACAATGTTTGGTCACTCATTCGTTTTGTTGTTTTGTCACCTACAGATACCACCTGGATCTTCAATTTAGAGAAAGGCTGACACATTGTATTAGCAGGTGGAAAACCACTTTGACAAGATTTTGTATGTGAATCAGTATTCTATGTGATTACAGTGGAGTGAGAATGTGACATATATATTATTGAAATGCTTCTGTCCTGCATTTAGAGAGTTATGGTCCTTTGTTATTTTTATCCCACCCTTATGACATGGTGAAAGAGCTGTATGGATCTTTCTCAAATTTCAGATATAGTTTCCCTTAGTCCCTAGTTATACCCAACATTCATTTTTGGTTCTGATTAACCAGAAAAACAAAGCGTCTGCCAGGTGGCCATCTTGGATTTTATAAAGTTAAATTTAAAGATGATGGTTTCTTCAGAACAATTTACAAAGATCAAATAATGGTGGTGTCTTTCAATATATGGATTGCTAGATTATTTTGTATTGCAGGTAGTTTGTGAAAAAATGGCATCTTTTTATGCAACAAATAAGTCTTTACCAAAATTCTAGCTTTAGGCATATACACTATCATTTTCAATAGACAACAGGAGCATATTTGAAAAATGAAATTGAAAGTATTTTTTTAATTTGATGAATAAGATATTATATGATAAAATACACTTGCATTTACATACATCATTTATTGAAACATCAAAAATAATCAACAATATTTAAATAAAGATTTCATATGACCATGACATATAATTAGATTTACAAAACATTGACTCAAATGTCATGTTGACTCTCAACATAAAATGATAATTAATTGTGTACATAGTAAAAATCGACCTTTATGTTAAAAGAATCATTAATGTGTACTACATGGAACATTTGATGAAAATATGCTCAATATTCTTAACACATATAAATTAATAAATTCTAAAAATATTTCTGTGAACGTCAGTTGCAGTTTGTGCTTTTGAAAAAATTATTTACCAACCATTTTCACTTAAATATATTGTACATATATATTAAGATCAATTATCTTAAGTTTCATAGTTTATATACCAATCATTAAAGTAGAATACTTAGTAAATTTAAATACCTGACATCACAAGCCGTATGATATTCATCTTATACATGTGCTCTGCAATGTACCATTAAAGTGTTTTGATAAAAAAATGTCACACTAACTTATAACACATATTTTCATAACCATATCCAGGTAATTTTGTAAATAATGATAAAAAATCACAGAAATAAGTGAAACAAACAAGTAGTATTCTCCAAGATGTCGCATATATCATCCTTGGCTCTCTATGTATAATTGTACCCGCATTATATGTATATTGTTAACAAAAGAAATTTGTAGGTAAATGAATGCCTGCATATGAAGGTAATTATCCATTGTTTCCAGGCTGTATAAACTAAATGTCAAAACTAATAGTATTTACGTAATTATTTCAAATGCCAAAGTTGTACCACATGCTGTATGTTCCATGTACATGGTATCTTGGTTGATACATTTCATCAGAGATATATCGTAAAACTGAAGTGTTAATTGTCCTCCTTAGTTGAATCACTACATTGATTACAGTGTCGTATCATATGAAGCGTTTCTCTGACTGACATAAATTAAATCCGGGTCAGATAATCTCATTGATGATGCTAGCAGTTATGATCAGGTTTCAGAACACTTGCTGAGAACTTCTTGTATACGGAGTTGATACTTCCTCATTCCTCTAAAGCCTCCGATATGGACTTTGTCACTGTTGTAATCTACTGGAAACCTCACTTTATCTGAAAAACGCACATAATTATCCACTAATTTCCTTTGTAGTAATTGGTTAATCTTCAAACGCTGAACGTCAAAATTCAATCTGGTTAGACCAGGAGACTTATTGAACTGCCCTCTGGTGATAATTTCAGCTACAAAGACATGTTTCACACCAGAAAGTGTGAGCTGGTCTAATAAGGCACTGAGGCGATCAAATATCTCCTGCGGCTCTGATGCCTTCGAAATGTCATTTCCCCCTAAATGAAGAAACACTATGTGTGGTCTAAAGTCGAGGAGTTCCTGTAGCAGCTGGTCAGGAATCGTGTCAGAACGCATACCACCTTTTCCAAAGAACTTACAAATTCCATTCAATTGTAAATCATGATCACAGAAATCTCCAAGCCGTGCAATGTAACTGGATCCTAATAAAGCATATCTGGTTGCCATGCTATCTTGTGCGTGGTTTGTACTCCCTAGTCTGGGACAGGTATCTACACCTGGCCTCCCAGGGGGTCCAGTCACTGTCTGTGTCAGCTTCCCACAATGAGTACCTGAGTATAGTCAGTTTTGCAGTATTTCTATAAGACTTCGTATAAATTTACACAGGAATCAAAGGGTCTGTTGTTATCTGTCAAGAGGTACCAGCATATTGGCCTTTTAATATAATATGCATGTTATATATACCTACCTGTGGTTGATCAGATCATCAGTCATGACACCTAGCCACAATTAAACTGTCAAAGGAGAGACATTGTGTTTGTTTTGATGAGCACTAATGAGGTGGCATGCTCATATGTGTGAACTACCTGAGTTTCACCTGTCTATCAGGTAACCAAAGCAGTAGTTACTAGATAAGGTTGGAAATCATCTGACATTTAAATCAATTAACAAATATGTTGTTAAGTACTGATTTTTTTTATTCTATAAATGACAAAAACCTATAATGTACTTTGTCTTATTTTGTTTTTCTTAAGAAGGCCTACAGAGTTTTAATTAATATCCAGAAAATATGTGTGTATATGTTCAGATTTTAGGGGAAAATTCTTATGGTACTGAACAAATTTTTATCGAAGATTTCTTTTTGTTCTAGCTCCAGAGGTGTTTGCCTGTGCACTGGATGAATGTGCAGGCTACAGTTTTGCTGTAGATTGGTGGTCACTTGGCATCTGTGCCTATGAAATGCTGAAAGGAAGGGTAAGATTTTATGTTTTGATGGTGCTAAAAATTAGAGATTAAACCCCTCCACCCCATGGTGACATAGGAAATCTGGATATTTGTTTAATGAGGGGAAATATGACAGCTTCATACTCAAAATTGGATCCAACAACTAAATAATGGAAATATCCTAATTCAATTTGAATTATGCCTGAGATAATTGTCCCATTGAAAATGTGATGAACTTATTGGGAACCAAATTGATATAAAGGGGAGATGTATGATGAAGATGATATTTTCTCATTTTTTATATCTGTAAGTAGCAGTGAAAATCCAAAGCTCGAATATCCATCATTGATATAGAAGACAGATGTGATGATATCAAATTGTAGATAGTACCTATAAAGATGTCAGTTTCATAGATATACTTTGAAGGTAGCTGCAACAATTGCTGCTAAAGCTCCATGCACGTCTAGTTTGTTCTCAGAAAAATATAAAAAATAGTGTTTAAAAACATTTTGTGAACTTACGCAGAAAAATTGTAGAAATAGAATATGCAATGTCACAAATTGCCTGTTTCTAGAGGCCATATGAGATCCACAACAGTACCTCTATACATGAAGTCAAACAGATGTTCACTAGTTTCAAAATTCACTTCAACTCAATATGGACTGACGGACTCAAGGATATACTCAAACAGGTAAATCAAATATTATTACCAGTATATTTATGTTTGCTCCAGATGGAGATCCTCTGCTATCTACATTGTTCTGTAATTCCACTGACTCTTTCCTATACTGCAAACTTTCCAACAGTTCATGTTTATATGGAGATATACATTTTAAGTGGAGAATATAATGTTAAGTAGGGAATATATAATTGTTACATGTTATATAAGTGGGAAATATGCATGGTGGGAAATATGCATGGTAAGAAATACACAATTTGACAGGAATAGAATTAAACATGATAGTACATTAATACTTTTCCTTCTGGATTAGAGGAAATATTTGCATTTATGATATTTTCTGAAGGCTGGCCATGTCAGAGTCCATACATTTGTGATGATGTAATTTAGCAATAGCGCCTGTAGACTTTGTCATGACACAAGCAAGAACCAATAGGACACAATTTAATATATAAAGTAGTTAGAGAATAGACCATTACTCAAAACACAGACGTAAAACCATTACATAATTGTTTGTTCTGTCATTATTGCTTCTCTGCTTTTATATCAATTCAGTTAACACATCCAATAGTGTTCTTATTAGATTAAGTTCCATTTGATATGTCAGATGAAAAAGCATGATATTAAGCAGAGCATGACATTAAGAGATTGTGGATGTTTCCATGAAAACCAGGAAGTGAACTTTTATGTCCCCCACAGGGAGGGAATGGCTTATAGGCTTTAGTTATGTCATCCATTTGTCTGCTGTCCTTCCGCACTTAATAAACTTTTATTTACTTAACAACATTTGTGAGACATGTTATTTCATCGTATACTAATCACTCTTCTTGGCCCGGATGTAAGCGTGTAAGGGGTCTTATTGTGGAAGGAAACTGGAGTACCCGAGGAAACCCCACTTGGTCTGGCAGGTGACCCCTTACCTTTTCATGTTTGTTACTGGAATCAAATCCCGGATGGCTCAGTGAAAGATGAATATGTTACCACTGTGCCACCTGACCTCCCCCCCCCCCCCCCCCGAGACTTTATCTTGACTGGGCTCCAACTCCTACAACTTTTCACTTAAACTCTTTACTTGAGGCATGGGTCGACCTAGGTACTGGGATATGTCATAAATCAAAAGTAGGTCACTGTGAAATACATTTTGTCATTTGACTGACATTAAAGAAAACATTTGTATATGCTTCATTTCCTACATTTCTTGTCACTTAAACCTCTTACTTAAGGCGTGGTTTCTTCAAGGAAAGGATATGTGTCATGTAACTAAAGTAGATCACTGTGACCTACATTTTGACCTTAGTCCTACATGAAAGAAAATATTCCTGCAAGCATCGTTTTTCTACATTTCTTATCTCTGAAACTTTTTAGTTAAGGCATGGGCTCACCAAGGAAAAGCAGTGTGCCATGTATCAAAATTAGTTTACTATGACCTACATTTTGACCTTAAACCTACATCAAAGAAAAAACTTTATTTCTATTTCCTACACTACTTATCATTGTGTTTTCATACTTTGGGCATGAGCTCAGTTAAGTAAGGTGGTGTATAGTATTTACCAGAAGTAAACCACTTTAACCTATATTTTGACCTTCAACCTTAACTAGGAATGGGTGATACCATTGATTTGATTTGATAATGATGAAATAAAACTGAATGGTATAAATTCAGCGCATTTATTTGTAATTTTTATGCTGTTCCTTACTGAATACACTGAGTCTGTCAAACATTCAGTGTATGCGATTAGTTCCCTTGTCATATAATTTGTATCTAATGGGGGACTGTAATTTTCAGTATTGTTTTATTGTAATGTTAACTGAATGCCTCTTTCTAGGACCTCTGAAGTTGACAGGAAGAGATCAAGAGACATTGCATTAAACTCCATTATGAAATAGCTGTTGGATTTTGTTTATTCGCATCAAGGGTGAAATAAAACTCACTTTGTATTTAATTGTTAGGAATGTATGACACAAAATACTGTTAAATGATAAATCAAACAATCTGTTATTAAAAGTGCAGTGATATTAAATAAATGTTTGGTTACAAACAACTGTTAACATGCCACAAATTCAGCTTAATGCTGATATATCAGAGGAGACCAGATTGATTGAAAATAAGAAGAAATGTCTGTTTTCACGTCTGTGTTTCTTCCCATGTATACATTGTGTTGACTAAATGTATAAACTTAGTCTAATGATCAACCTAGCTTAGTCTATGAGGTCATATACCTGTCTATTGATCTAGAATTGAGGAGTGAATGAGATTTCCGTACCAAATCCAAGATAGATAAGAAAATTATTGGCACACAGCTAACCTAATGTTCATTATCACAACACATCTGACAGGAGTTTTTTTTAACTAAGCTGAACCATTTTTCATACTGGACACAGGTGTTCCTTAAATCAGAATTGTTCAAACTGAGTTCATCAGAATTCCTTCCTTAAAACATATAAAATTTTCTGAAGTTTTCATGTAATTGAGTATATCATTTTTGTCTCTGCATATTGTTTGGCCTGCGTGCAGGGATGACCTGTTGTCCATGCTCTGAAACTTCTTTTTTTTTCTCTTTTTTTTTTAACACTTTTTCTCTTCCTAACGTCTCTTGACACTACCTTATATATTATTTACCTTTAAGTGTTGAGTGTCTGCCCACATAAGGATCCAATACGTGTTTTCTTTTACCAAGTCTGAATATACTGGTCATAAAAATGGTATAACATGTTCCCTGCCAGTTACTTAGCATGTAATAGAATGCACATTTACTTTCGACTGGTTAGAATTATGTTCTTATTTGTGACCAGGCGTGATATGCTACCAAGTGGCGATTGTGACCTTCAAATGTGATGCCTCTGTCAATGGCCCCACAGTCCATGGACAATCTCTTCTAATGAAACTTGAAAGAGATAATAGAATCAATGCACACTGATTATCAGGCAACACAAGACAGTGGTATATTAAAAGTACCATTTTTTCCACCTTACTTTATGTTCTTGCTTTAAACTGGGACATAATACTTACATGTATGTTTCTTTCTGGTAATCCTGTATTGCTTATCTGTGTGATTTCTATTGAATGATGATGATGAGGATTGTAAAAGATCCATTTTTGTTCTAATTGAGATGGAAGTGTTCAATTTGTTTCCCATTGGAGGTTGTGTGGTAATTACCTAAATACTTAACTTGCTACTCTAATTGTGGTTAAAGCACCATATACAGCAGATCGATTGATGTACATATGCTAGCATTGAAATCTTCTTGAAGTACAGGAAATTTCTAGTGAAACATCATTGATTCTTTATTTGGAATATTCAAAGTTTAAATTTTTCCTCTAATATATAGATCTTTATATACATATGTGCCATATTGTCAGGTTTTTACTATTTTATATCCAGAACAAGCACCTGCTGTACCCCTAAGTAAAATGTTCATCACACACTTGTAATATTTATTATAAAGTTATTGGACAGATGGTATGTCATTTACCAAAAGGGTTCACTGTGACCTATATTTTTACCTTTGAACTTCTTTAGAAGATCAGCTAGTCATGGGAAGAAATTGTATCACATATGAGAAATGTCCTTGCAGCCTAGATCAGGACCTCTGATAAAATGGTTATGGTTTATGTGTCCTATGTATCTACCGTACCATGATTTCAGACCTGATCTTTGAAGGTTTTGTGAATCTGAGAAGATTATTGTGTTGCTAACCAAATGATAATCAACTTAACCATAACCACTGCTTTCACCTTTTTCTTTCAATAAGTGTTTTTATGCATTCTCATTAACTGTATGGTTAGGATACCATTTAAATCTCACACACAGTATTTTGATATTTCTTTGCAAGTGGAAAGCTCCACAAAAATCTCATTTCGTGAAATATTAATGGTTGTTGTTTGTAGTGGTTACAATGTGATCGCTTTGATTGTCAAGGGAAGATTCTTGATTCTTGAAAGCTATAAAGTGAGATTATTGAAACATTAGGACCATGAGTGTAGTTGACGATGTAAGGCGAATCAGAGGTCTCTTAAACTCTGCTCAATATTACGACTAGTTTCCTATAATGTTTGATTCAATAAATGGATGACACAAAAACCTGATACCTATCATTTTTTAAAATCTTTTTTCTTTTATATGAAAGTTACTAGACATGTATTAGTTATGGTTGAAGATATATGCCTGATAATGTCTGAACTTTAATATCTGTCTCCTGATCTCGTGATTTTATGATGAAGCTATCAATGAAAGGTACCTCAATCTTATGATCTGGTGGTCTTAGGATGAGGCTATCAATGAATGGTACCTCAATCTCATGACCTTGTGGTCTTAGGATGAGGCTATCAATGAATGGTACCTCAGTTTCCTAACACTGATTGGTAACTGCTTTGTGCAGTCATGTGAGTTAGATTTTTCAGCTTAATGTTGATTTTGAATTCCTATAAAAAGAAGCAGTAACAGTGTGATATCTGCAGATAGACACTAAAAGACAGCTGTGCCTCCCTCCTCCTTTTCCCCCTCTTATCCTCCTGAACTGTCTATCAATGCAGAAACAATATTATGTTCCCTTGTGCTGTAATCATAGCTCATCAGAGTTTGTTGTTGACAATGTAAGTATTTTATAAACAATTTGGTATTGCAGTTATTGTACCTTGATCCTAACAAAAGAGTATCCAGTCTGGAGATGTTAAAGAAACACATGTATGTGTGTGATGTGGATTTCTCCAAAGTGCTCACGCGTGACATCAAGCCCTCTTTTGTGCCTTCAGTAAGTTCTTATCCTGATGAAAGAAGCAGACTTTATGGATATTAATCTGAAAGCATTATGTGCAATATAACTACAAGTGTCTTATGTATATTTAGTTCTTCTAAACCAAGAAAAGTTTTAATATCAGGAAAGCAAAAACACTTAAGTCTTTTGAACTGTAAAACGATTAACTTCCATCTTTTGAACTGTAAAACGATTAACTACCATGATGACAATTAATCAATCATCCACACACAACAAAGGCATTGTCTATGCTGCAGTAATACAATCCGTCATAATTCAACAAGGGAAATAACTGCACATTTGCTACACTTACACAATGCGCTGACTTCTAATTGGTTAGTTTTGCTTATTAAGGCAAACAAATTGTGACAGGGTGGAAACTTCTGTTGAGGAGAAATGAAAGAATAATGAAATGTTGATCAAATGCCATATTTTGTTGGATTAAACACCAATAACGGTCTGGCTTGAATTAAAATGCATGATGTAGATTCAATTTTACATATGAAAGGAATGTTTTATAACTGATTATCAATGGGACATATCCAATGCACTAGTTATTATCATCACTTTTGTAGGATGACACTCAATGGTAGTCCGGCATTCCTGACTTTTCATCTTAGGTGGTACAAATGTATTTCACAAACTATATCTTAAATGTTTCAGAAATATTCAAATGTAGATTCATTGACAAATGAGCATTAAAAGTATAGCTTGATGTATTTTGTCTTGCTATCAGAACAAGAGAACATAAGCACAGTGTAGTTCTCTCTACAGATGTAGTCCATTTAGATTTTGTTTATATCTACAAGGAAGAAAAGAAACTTGAAGTGTTGTAGAAATGATGCTTATTTATATTTCAGAAAGACCATCTTAACTGTGATCCTACATATGAACTTGAGGAGATGATTATTGAGTCCAAACCCCTTCACAAGAAAAAGAAGAGATTGGCCAAACAGAATTCGAGACGCAGTGAAAGTGGCTGTTCTACGGTAGTTACATAAATTGTGAATCTTACAGTTGTTTCCACATATCATAAAACAAGTCTTAAGGAGTGTCATAAACTCCATAGGAAATGGAAATTGAAATAAGTTTCTTGTTACCACACAACTTTAATATTGTAGCATGAAATTGTAAAAAGAGCTCTATATCAGAATAACATCTCTATATCCTTTTCTTAGGTTTTGTGACATTGCATATGCATATTGCCATGAAATAATGGTATCACTTGGATCCTTCAACCAAAGACAGCTCTGCTAGGTATTAATTGTAGCAGGTGCCATAACTAAATTTAAGAAATGGGTGTGTTATTACACTGATGATGAGGTAGTTATGTCATGAAAAGTGTTCCGTGTGATGTACCAGGGGACACCACTCCTCTACAGATTATATACTTTATTAAATTGGAGGGACTGTATGTTCATATTAATTTAATTTATTAATTCAAAGCATTATTCATTATTTATATATCTAACTCAAGACAGAGTTATAACAAAGGACAAAGGTATACTTTACCAGTCTCATAATTTGGTATCTTATTCATGATGATCAATGATTTATTCATTTAGGTTTGTATTATACAAAATGAAATAAATCAAGATAAAAAAAGATTGGACAATTTACATATACAGCTTACAATCAATCTACAACTAGTAATTATGCATTTTCCCTACTGTTCTATACATTCAAGAAAGCCTATCCCATTGTGTTGATTTTGTGTTTCTACTTCTGTAAAAGCCTAATGGCAAATAGAAATGAACTTCTATCTCTAGGTGCTGCCAAAATCATATACAATGTTGATCTCTTTAGTGCTAAAACAGATATTATGATAAACCTTACCTCCAATACATGACCCATCAAGGGATAAGTTGACTCTGTAAGATAAATGTTAGATGAAATAAACAAAGGAAGAGACATTTCTTAAACTGTATCAGCACTCATGAAATATCAGAACTTTTCATGTTCATTGAGGCCAGAGGGTCACAGACCTGCATTTCATAAAAGTTTTCTTTTCAAAGGAAGGAGATTTATCACAAGACGGAGAGGAAGAAATCTACAAATACTTCCCAATATACAACCGGGAAAGGTAAGTTTTGATAGGAAACATCTATGTAAAATATAAATTTATATGATTTTATTACTTTTTTTTCTGAATTGTAATCTAATGTCCTCAGAAATGAGCCATCCTCTTTGTATACTACTAGTATATCTCCCAGCTTGATACAATCCATGATCACATATATAATTTTATTAGCTTATTATTGTTATATCGAGAGAAATGTTCTTCATTTAGTTTGAAGTCTTAAATTTTTTTTTCTGTTAAGTAGGTCAAAGGCGCCGGATGGTAAGATATTTGCTGCAGTATAATGGAAGTTATCCTCATTCTTACTCTAGTTTATATAGCGGAAACTCTTTTCTGTTCTTTCTTGTTATTGATCATGCAATATTTCTGATCTCTGCAACACTGCATCAGATTGATGTTTAAAAAGTCTTTTATAGGATTAATTAAAAAAACCCAAAACCTCTGATTATTCTTTCATAAAATAATAATTTAAAAAAACCGAATACCAAATTGAATGCTCATTTATTTGTATGCATGCCCTTCCATAAAAGTTATGGGAATTGTATTTATGACATGCATCTTGCCACTCCAACAGACAAGTATACCAAGTATATGTAACACACCAAGGTTTTAAAGAAGCTGAATGAAATATAGGAAAGAGCTAGAGGAAAACAAATTGGCAGCACCTATGACTACTGTGTAGTTTAGATTAGGTTGGAAAGATAAGTTATGTTTTGGAGGCAGTTGGGATTATATATAAATGAAAGGGCATAACTCTCTCAATAAGCATACACCCATCCTAGGAAGAAAGTGAACTACCGGTGTTACATTCTTGTATAAATGCATAAAATTGCTGAAGGGAAATGTTTTCGGTTTTTCGTAAAAATAAAACTTCATATTTGATCATGATGATGAATCCTTCCAAGTATCAAAGAGATTGGCCAAAATCTGAAGGGAGACCTAAGCTGGATGGCATTGAATAAGTATGTTAAAGGCAATTATTTTCAAAAAGTAGTATTAAAATGTCAGGGAATAGACAAATTTTCAAAGAGATTGGTGAGCACTTAAAGAGCCAAATATTCCGACATGATTTAAATGATGAAAATAACTATTGATAAAAACTGACATTCTGGAAAACATTCATTCGTAGCAAATAAATGTCTTGCATCACCTTTTAATTATTGAATGATATTTGCATCTTTCTATCACAGGCTTTCCAGTCAATAGACCAATAAAATTTTGTGTGTATCTACAGTAAACTTTCCATAGCGATTTAGATTAAATAAAAACCTCAGTAAAATACAATGATAATGTATTCTTGACAAACTATATATTTTCAAATAATAAAATTTAAAAAAAAAAAAAGAAAAAAAACCCAGGTAAATAAAAGATTTCATGGGATAGGATGATGTAGAGTATATCCTACTTCAGTATTGAATATAGCTGTCTTTACTCCCTCATGTGGCAAATAGCTATGAAATCATGTAGTGGAATGAATATATTGTCTTATGTGGATTCTAACTTCTGCAAAAATGACTGAATTTCATGTTTTGTCCAACTTCTGATATTATACTTGTGCATTTGTATCTTTCCATCTGGTATTGCATCACTAACTTTTCACTGTTTTGTAGATAAGCAACCTTTATCTAATGACATTCTTAGGTCTCCTGAGACAAAGGCTCTACTGATCTGATGTGATTGTCTTTTGTCTGTCATTATGTGTCTGTAAACAATTAATATTTTTTACTTCTTCTCATTGAACCAGTTTTAATGAAATTTTGCAGAGAACATCAGTGGCAAAAGGTGAATCAAAATAGTAGATAAACATGATCCCAAAGTGTCTGAAGAACGTGGCCAAAAGGGTTAAAATTGACTCTTTTTTTCAAAAATCTTCTTCTTATAACCAAAACATTGTAGAATCAAGTACTCATTATTGATAGAAGGGTCTCAAGGTACATTACAAAAGTTGTAATTTGGATGATCCCGAGACTTCCCTTATTTTAGGGAGAGGTTAAAATTTATGAGTCCTTTAAAATTAAAATAAAATAATACTACTGAGCATAGTTATTTTAATTTGGTTAGCAATATTAGTATAGAATGCCAGTTTGATTGTATACACATACTGACCTTTGCTGACCCCTATAGTGGCAGATGAGTAGGCCAAAAGAAATTCAAGACCCCAGGATGTCACACATTTCCCCCTTTGGAGAAAAAAAAAATTATTAAGGAAAACTACATTGTTGAGCATATTTCTTTAGATTCAAACTTGGTTTGAATTCTAAACATGGAACTGTAGTGAGATTAATGCACAGTTTGCATTACATGTAGTTCAAATTATTAAAGTGTATTGTTATATGACATACATCACACAAGCAACTCAGGTAACCGTTAAGATCCTGGGCCTCTTATTTATGAAAAGTTTAACTTATAGTTTCTGTGACTTTAAATCATTTCAGATTATGTAAATAGAATACAGCCTTTTACTGTCTAGCTTAGATATATATATAACAATCTTATAACTCAATTACCAGGCATCTGTTAAGTTAAATATACATTTATGTATATTGAAATGTGCCCATTAAATTGCTAACTTTATCATATAGCCAATTACCTATGTGGGTGAGGCGTACTACCAGTAACTGAAAAGTAGGAGTCAATGCTTACAAAACCTTGTACTCCTTATACCATGATTCTAGATTATTCTAATGTCAAATTTATCATTTGAGTGATACAACTTAAATGATATAAACAAAAAACAAGCAATCTTTATCTTTGCTTCTGTTCTGAAAGATCCATTACAAAGTTTAATGCATTTTTTTAGGATGGGGAAATTTTCTATAATGCAAAAGTTACAGATATACTTAATGAAATATATTTAAATTTTTTTTTTTTTAAACTTAAGTTTTTCTGCAGTCATACTACAGATAATTTTTATTTACTCTAAATTCAGTATGTTAAATGTGGCAATAATTTAAGAAATAATCGTATGTGAATACAATGTGAAAGAGAAAGCTTATCCCAGCACAAAGTTTTGGTATGTATTCATGCCCTGACAATTAGATAACACATGTACAAGTTAAAAAATTATCCTTGTTACTGCACCAGATTTTAAAATACAGATACATAATAGGGTTAAGTAACCATAATACTTAACTTATGGCACACACAATATGTTGCTGATTTTTCTAGCATGATTAAATAAGAATGTGAAATAAAATATTGATCACAGCACCTGCTATTGCTCTATTTATGTGAAAAGTTTGTGGCACATTCAGCAATTTGTTTTAGCATGATAGTAACACTCCATAGCAAAGTTAGACACATTGCACAAAGAAGAACTTCACACTGCATGGCAAACATTTCTACAATGGTGTTAACCAGGTTACTGGAGTGGTGTAATTTAAATGATCAATGATATTTCAATTTAAATATAATTATAAATCAAAATTTTTTTCAAAGCATGGCAGGGTATATTGATCCCGACAACTTTTGATAATACCCTTGTAGTGGGGGGATAGGGATATATACAAGAATCACTCTTCCTAGAACTACAAACAGAAAACCAATTTCCATGAAATGCCACAGGACGATATGTAGATGAGCATGCAATTTTTTCTTTGCAAAATTTTGGTTGCCATTGTATTCTGGTCACTGACCATATTTTCATAAAAATGGCTGTGTTACTCCTTACTCACTTGCTGTCCTTCTCCTTTTGTCCTTTACTAATCATGGCCTATTATTTGACTTATTAAATGTTTCAAGAACTGTTGTACCATGGAAACATAATAGAGGCTTCTGATTGGTTGAAATCGAAATATTGGAAATCAGTATAGTTAAGTTTAGATGGATGACAAATACATACAATGGTACCATTTTTAAATAGTTGTCACGATGGTAACTTATTGAATGCCTCTTTTAAAAGGATTCTTGTCCAGATGACTAAAATTGTGAACCAAATCCAATTTAAACAGTACAGAAATATGAAAGTATTTGTACGCAAATTGTTGCAAATCCCTCCTCCCATCCCCCCCCCACCCCAAAATAGTAACCGATAACCTCACCATAGACACAGGAATTTGTAGATAGGTCTAGAATTTTAGAGCATTTAAAATTTTATTTTTGAACTTGGTCAAATGAAGTAATATCAGATGTTTGTTAACCATTAGCATGGAAAAACAGGGGAAGTTTGTAGTTATATAACATTCAGATATTACCAGATTCATCTAATGTATACTAATGTACAATAAGGGTTTTAGTGGATGGCAAACACAGTGGTTCAATGATGGATTATGTATTTGTGCATTGGCATTTTATAACCCAATCACAAAATATGCACAGCTGAAGTTTGACTTTAACATCATTTTTGTTTACATCAATTGCTTATAAAATTTCAATAATTTGAATGGAAATGGGAATTAGTCGGCATTGAAGAAGAGTAGGGTGGTATTTGTTGCCTATGCTGGGGACATTTCTAGTCAATATTAGAACTAATACCCAACAGTGTGCTGTTATTTCTCTCCTTGGTTCTTGGATACTTTAAGGAAAAAGTAAAGACTTCACAGTTTAGTGAATCAAATATTAATCATATTATCATGATTAATGAATAACCTGCAGACTTTGGAGAGGATGATGATGTTTATGTTGTTTTTACTTTCAGAGATATAATGAATATAATGAAACTGAATATAGGAGAGGATACATCTAAGGTCAAGATCAACAGTTGTTTTGACTGTCAAGGGGAGAGTGTCAAAATGGATCACCTAACACGCATCACATCGCCTCTTCAGGACAGCCTGGTCGAGGAGGAAGAAGGTAACATTACAGACGAGGACAGTGGACCTCCACCCTCGCTCATAAACTACGGTCTGTCGCCAAGGAATAGTGATGGATTTGGTTGTAGCTTTGTGTCTTCAAATCTCCCTGCCACCGACAAGAGAGAGGTGTATCGAGGTGTTAGAGCACGCTCACTAGATTATTATCATGGGCCTGTGCCTAGGCGAGATATGGGGCGCAAGTTCTCCCACCAACCCACTTCTTCTAGCTGACAACAAGGGATGTTTTTTACATCAGATGGTTGTTGAATTGTATAATGCAAACCAAAAATTGAGAATTAATTATCTACTGAACTGTTTGGTCTGTTATTTATTATGAAAAGTATAAAAAAAAATGTTAATGCATAAATAATGAATGTAATGAAACTGTGTGTATGGATATGAAACGAGTTCAACGTATTTGTGTGTATTTATTACTTTTCAATGAAGATAATTTTGTATGGTAAGATGACTGTTAAGCTATGATATATCTACAGTTTTATAGATAAAACATCTACCACCCAATTTTACATAAATTAATATCATTACCATGAACCCTACTCACTCTTATATAGATACAAAGATTTATTCTGACAAGGTACAGAAAACATATATATATATATATATGTACAGGATTAACAATCCTTTGATAGTCAGCTCTTTATACAATTTAAACTAAAATAAAGCCAAGAAAGATTAGCAGATTCAAAAGATAAAAAAGATACATGATAGTGTTGTTAACCAAATATCTTTTTCATTTACCTGTTAATAGGAGAAAACTGTCAGTTGTGAATATATTATCCACTCTTTTTTCCTAGAAACTAATCCTACACATGGAAAGAGCTTTGATGTTATTAATTTTATTTTCTATATTAACACTAAATTTGTATTTTAAGATGTTTGAAGATCATAATTTAAGTTAATAAACTTCCACACTTGATGTTGACGATAGCTTTGTAAGTACTGTATTTCTGCATTCATTTGCATTTAAACTGATTTTCTAATTCAGATTTTTAGAAATGTTAACACGTATTTATCCAGCAATATTCTTCTTATCTGTTTATATAAACCCGCCGGAGTGTAGTCTGTTCATAAGATCATGTGCTCTTTGGCTGAGTGAGGATTAAGTACAGTAATTACTTCAGATTCTGATATTTTATTTTTTGAAAATTAACTTGTTTGATTGCAGTTGTGCTCAGTTAAAAGCTTGGTTTCGGTTGATTTCTCTGGGTATTAATCAGTATGATACTTTCTTCTACAAACTATATCCAGAAGTCCCTATAACCACTAGATATATTATTATTGGTCTACACGTTTTTATTAGATGATTTTCATAGATTTATCATGTTATCACCTGCTGGCCAGAAGCAATTTAGATATGAGTTTATTGTAGATATCAGATGTCTTTTTCTACAAGAAAATAAGTCCAAATACAAAACATGTTGATACATATACCAGTACATGTGTTTGTCTGATTTTCTTACTTGAACTAGTGTATTTACACTTTTCCATGTCTTAGAATAGTTGTCAACCAAAGGGAATAGATTCTGGCTGAACACAGATATCTGTCCAGGCAGTTGAGATTCTCTCCAAAGGTAATGAATAATTCTTTCAATACTTGCTTGTTTTAGCCAGACAATGTACATGAAGAATGTTGATGCTACACTGTTATTGTAATTTGAGGAACAATCATTCAGTTCATTTCTACCTTAGGTAAGATAAGTAGTACGTCATCTGTGTGATCTAGACAGATTCTTAACTATATGGGAGAAAAAGAATTGCAGGTAAGAAAAATTCTTGCATCATCTTGTATCTGAAGATATACCACCAAAATATGTCAACTTTTGATATTTTCAGGTCTAGGTATCGTAGAAAGTTACTATATATAGAAGATACCCAGCATCATCTATGGGATAATCAAATCATTGGGAAAAAAGAATATTGAACAATGATATTCATTCGTCATTAATCAATATTCTTTATTGCCTCTCGGGTCTCTATCAGATATTTGTCTCTTTATTCATTTCTAAAGAGATTTAAATACCTAGAGTATTTCATTATAACACTGATAGCTGTTAGTTATGATTAAGTAGGCCATTTCTTACATTTACTTTATCTTTACAGAAATTGTACCAGTGAGAAAAAACGAGATTTCATCCAATTACAATGCTAATGATGTGATTATGTGTGACTTTAATCTTGTACTGTTTGAATACATATAATGTCCTCGACCATTGTATACATTCTTGAGCTGATTATCTGATGTTTTTTTATGTCCTTTAGCTAATTATGACCTTGTATATATCTTTGAACAAATTTACTCTATTGCTCTGACCTTTTATGTCCGAGAGCCAGTTCTCTTATCTTGTGACCTTCAGTTAACTCTTTTTACCTTGAACTGATTATCTGACTAGTTATGTCCCTTAGCCTATTTTCTGACCTTGTATGCCCTTTAGCAAATTCTCTTGTAGGACTTTTAGTTAATTATCTATTCTTGTATAAGTCCCTGAGGTAATTACCTATCTTGTTTTTGTCCTCTAGCTCATTCTGTGGCCTTGTTTATGACCTTGACTGATGAAAGTCTTCAGCAAATCCTATTTATGTTATTTGACTTTAACCTTGAATCAGTATCAGTAGTTTTTGTTTGTGGTATATGTGACCTTGACCTTTCATCATAATAACCATACATTCTCATTATAAATATAATTTCCTCATCACATACTCAGGATTGTGATTTGGAATGTCATCACACTCCTTTGAATTGTACTTTGACATCTTTGTTATTTTATCACAAAACTAATGCTACAGGTTGTGTTGAACTACAATAAAAACTACTTTGTTGAAACCATACTACAATGCTCAAGATCCTCAACAACAAAGATTTCCTGAAATCAGAGTTATGTATTTCGGCTTATATATTGTATTTATAACAGACCTTATATATCAAAATCTATTTGGCTTTTGTATATAAGTATCAAGAACATAGACACCATAAGATTTAGATACTGGTATCAAACTGTTATATACAAGTGTCAAATACATGCTGCTGTTATCAACATCAAGATTCATTCTAGTCTGATATTCCTTGAGAAAGTTGATTGTTCTTTGTTTTATTGTAATATAGTTAGAAATCCTCAGCAGAAAGAATATTTTCTTTTTAAAATGATAGTTAAATCAAATGTATGTATATACAGTACTTTGTACTTGATGAAAGGCTCGTCATTTTGTGTTAATGTACAGAATATATGGTATTGTAAAATATCATCAGTTTCAAGCCTAATAAAGTTATTACTATTATTGTAAGATCTGGTCTGCCTTTCATTATTACACCACTAGAATTCAGTTTTAGACATTTTCTTTTGAGGTAAAAGACGATCTGAGCCACATTTGTAACTATACATAAAATTTCTATGTATAGGGAAACTTGGTTCTTGGGGAGGCATTTTGTTTGTCAAGAGGGAATTCATGAAAATGCTACATTCAACCACAACAAAAGTGGCTAATTTGATAATAAAATTTCACTAAATTAACAAAATTTCAAACATCATAATTAACAAAAGTGGTCCATATAAAATACTTTTGTCCATATCGGTCATTTTGAATGCCAACTATTTTTGTTATGTCTATATGCAGGTTCTTGTCCCAATAGTGGTAAATAATGTACCTGAACCATCACCAAACAAACCTGGTAACTATCACTGAAGTATTGCGGAGATGAATTCTCAGTAACAACTTTTATTTCTCTCATAAGTAATGCAAACAGAAGACTACTTCATATTATTTTTTTGTGTTTATTAACATTTGAAAAGAAAAAGAAAAAAAAGAGCTAAAAGTGAAGATACAAATCTGAACACATAATTCTGGCAGTACAGAACATTTAAGCCATCCATGTGTAACAAGGTCTGTTCCTTTTTATTCCATAATTGATAACCATGTACATGAATGATGTAGGACTATGACTGTCCAAATAGCACAAATTCTCTGAATATAAATACACTCTGGACTAGGTAATTATTACTGTAATGATAAATCTGCATGTCGCAATATCCAGTTGGTATAAAGCCAAGATTTTGGTCATTTCTGTACAAAACTTGTACAACCTTATCATCACAATCCGACCAGTGTTGACAAAAATGTGTTTGATCAAGCAATTTACTGTGGTTCAAAACAGTTCTCTGTGATGGACCAGTGTTTATAAAATGCTCTGGTGAGATTTTGAAAACATCAGACCAGTATTATTGACTATTAATATCTTCGATCCATCCAGAAATGGCTTGAAATAACGTCACAGCTTGACAAATTGGTCCATCCTCACAACATGCCTTTGGACTTGTGGTGCATATCATAAATCTAAAAATTCACAAATAAATGTGATATAATAAAGCACTAGATTCTGTTGTCATAAATCTGAAAATTCATGAATAAATATGACATAATCACTTGATTCTGTTATCATAAATCTAAAAATTTACAAATAAATGTGACATAATAAAGCACTAGATTCTCTTAAAGGAAAGAAACGGTGAAAAATCACTGCTTGTAATTTAATCTGGTGTTTCTATTGTGTCTGAACCATCTTACCCGAAGTATAACTATTCGAGGTACTGGACTATTCTGCCCTGTAGTCCTTTCCACACTATTGTAAATATGGTTCCTTCATTGTTAATGTGTATACAGTGACCTAACAAGACCAAGTGACACCAAAGTCTTGCTTCTACACCTTCATAGTGAGACATAAATACATCTTATGTAATACGTGTTGAAAATTTTAAAAATGAGACAACAATTAACATCAACAAAATTAATGTTCCTGACTGCATGCACTCAAAAATAAACAGATATACATAATGTAACATGGCACATTGTATAACAAATAGATAAGGAAGACAGAAAGATAGAGAGGTAGGATAGGAGAGAGACGGGATAGCAGGTTTAGAATAGAGGAGATTAAAACAAGCACAAGATATACATCATATCAAGTAAGGAATAGTAAGAATACTGGGTAATGTTGGAACAGTAATTGTGTCCCTTACTGGCCCACACAAGTTACAGTGTTATTCTGGTGAGTTTTACTGACTTTGTATGATCCAATTAACAATAAAGATTCTACATGTAAGGGTATCATTACAATTAAACTTTAAATCATTAACGCCAAAGTCATGCAAGTATGAGAAAAAAAGGAAGAAAAAAATGTGAACAAACAGAAAAACAACAGGTGATGAACTGATGCTATATGTATACATAACTTGCTATCTCAAGTATGAGAAAAAAATGAAGAAAAAATAGAGAGTTGAACCATACATTTCAGATCTTCACATGAGGTTGTGTAGTCCGATGCCATACAGACCGATCTTTTGCAGCCCACTCTATTTTAGTAAGTTTGAGTCTGGCTAATATAGTTAGAGTACAAGTATATGCATACAAAGACCCTTGAGTTCTGTTACAGTTCTTACTAAAATAAGCAAGAAGGGAAGTAACTATGAAAGTGATGGTGAAGGGCAGCATTTATTACATACTCCACTACCAAATATGGGCATGATTAACCAGAGCAGAGTTATTTCATAGAAATGAAAAAGTAGACAGTTGAACAAAAAAACCACAAAGCATTGTCCCTTAATTGGAGATCATTACCACATCATTTCAACAAAACTTATATGGTGGATTATGCAGAGTTATTACACTAGATAGATCAGTATGATCAGTTCAAATTTCAACCAATGAGATGCCTAAGTTTGGTTGTGATGACAACAAAACTCATGCAGGTGAGTTTGAAAACTCTAAATACATAGAAATTCTGACATCAAATAGGGTAACGTCCATGGTGAAGGCAATGTTACTCATGGTAGAGACAATGTATGTAGGAGTTATTTCCCAGTTTGTTTGCACTTTTAAAAAATGTAGCAGATCCGTTGGAACACTTTCAGCTGATAATCTTTTCGCTGATTTTCAGACATTCAGAACCACATTTGTGTTTAGCTGGAAACTTTGGCCAATAGATCATCGCACATCTGGGTCAGTTCCTTGTTTTCAGACATCTGAAATTATAATCAGTATAACATAAGGCAATACATGTATCACTCAATCCAACATGTTTTTAGTGCCGAGCCAATTTCATCTCTGTAATATTTCTTGGGATATTAATGTGAATGGAGAATCTTCCAACTACAACGAGTAGAATCCTAATCGTTGGTGTAAATACAACTGAGCTTCCCCAAAACGATCATTCTGAATACTGAATAGAATAATACATAGAACCAAATATGTTTAAATACTGATCCCTCTAACTTCTAAATATGGAATCGATGTTGTGTATGCAATAACTAAAACAACCTCTGTAAACCCAGCTGACTAGAGTCCTATACTTCGTGTCCCAGGAAACATGTGTAGGATTTGTATACAATATGTCCATGTAAGAATTATAGATAAAGCTACATATAATTACCAATAACATCAAAAAAGACAAGATGAAACCATACCAAAGGAACCAATTGTTTCAATGAAGTGAGCCAAGTATGTAAACAATATGAAAACAAGTACTTTCAATGTAAGCAGAGCTAGAAAGCTATAGTATCGCATCTCATTTGTATGAGTTGACAAAATCATGATAAAAAAAACACACAGAATGGAACATTAGACCTAGTACATCAAATGCACTGTAGGTCAGTGCCAACATCACCATGCAATGAGCATTTTTTTTCTCAAAAGAAGTAAAACAGGTTTTTTTTTCGCACTTGAGAACCATCATTTTTCTATATCAAGTAATCAGTAACTTTAGCAAATTTTCATATGGTATGCATTGCAGCTTTGTTGAAATTAATTGTATGGCACGAGACATAAAATGATGATTGGTTACTGTCTTTGTTCCTTACCTTTTGATCAACAGTTTTCTGCAGACTCTCTAACTGCAGTTTGTCTCTCCTTGCTCTGGCCTCAGAGGATGTTGTTAACAGGTTCAGGTCAGACTTTGCTTTGGCTAATTGTTGTGTAAGTCTGCAAATAATGTCACAGTACAGTCATCTAATAGATTATTGATTGTATTTGTTGGACACTCCTAGGTTAATATTAATTCATAGTAGTTTTATATATCATCATTGTCTTGACTTTAGTTTTTATAATATATATATGCAATTGTCATGATTTCTGAATTAATCACCAAAATATGAGCAACTATTTATTTAATTATTTCAGTGAAGAACGTGAATCAGTTTACTGTATATGAATACAAATGTATGAAGCCCTCTGTTTCCCACCTGTGGGCACATCACTTTCAAATGACCCTGTTCATTAATTTTTTTCTTTTAAATTCTGTCCAAGAACTTAATTTGATATAAATATATAATATCTTAGCCATTACATACTGATACAATTATGAAAATAAAGAAATAAGTAAAAGATGGATATTTTATGATAATTAGATCCTTGAAATGCTGTAACTTTTTTCTGTTGTTACATGGAAAATGAGTGAGTGGGCTTTAGCTATCAGTCCTAACTGCTTTTATGAATGGCTGTTACTTACAGATTAACTCAAAATCATTTTGAATGCAGATTAACCAAGGTAAATGTGCCTGTATCAGACTCTTTGAATAGTATTAATGATAATGAGTTGTTATTGTAAGGATTGACCATTCATTTTGTTTAAGTCATAAACCCAATGGAGAATGAGGTAAATTTATACAATGTGTTTATGAACAATTTACCTGGTACTCATAAAAAACAAAAAAGGTTAAATTAAAGTACACATGTACGTATAACAAGGCTTGTTTGAGAACAGCATAGTTTGGCTATGGAGCCTACCAGTATGAGTATCTGCCTGTCATGCGTTGGTGACTGAACCAGATCATCTTGAACCATCATTTGCAATCGTATACAGGAGGATTTGATATTGATTTGATTTAATACGGATCGATAGGTCATGAGGTTATAGGTCAAATTCTAGAATGACCACTGTGTTTGTTTATGAGATGAATGGCTTCATATAATTTACAAGAAATAATAAGGGACTATAAGAATTTGTTTAGCATGCAAGGGCCTTCGTTAATAGTTAACAGTACAGACACTGATCGAGAGATTGTTTAGTAAACCATATGTAACATCAGTTCCCATATCTGCTAAGGCACCCTAGCTAAATGAGTTCAAATTTTGCTATTTCATGTTTTTTTGGAATACAAATACAATAAAGTAAAGGATTATCTGTGTATAATTCACTTGCAAACTTTATTAAATGTTTCACTGAGGATCTTGGTAAATTGCCCTCCATTGTCTGTTATATCAATGAACTTTGATCAACATAACAGTTATCACTTCATAAGAAATGCATTCCATTATGTTACCAGTATATCAAACGTCAGAAACAGTAGTTACCATATCGTAAGAAAGGGTGTGGCTAAAATGTAGATCAAGTTGAAACTAGAAACAAGAGTGCCGCAGACACAATATACGCCGCCACAAAATATAAAGATCCACTATGAGCAAGCTACAGATACAAAGTTGAAAATGTCATAAATCTTACAAAAATCAACGAACCAAAAAATCGCTTCTTCATGCACATCTACCCATTGTAGTTGTGACATTGAGCAAGTTTAGTGAAAATCTGATGATTATTTTAGGAGGAGTTGCGTTCACAAGAAATGGACGTACGGATGGACAGACGAAGAAGATGACGCCAATATATGACCGGCGGTGTATGAAAATTGCTAAAAACTGGCCCTGAGGCTTATATATATAAGTTCAGCTTATAACCTGGAAAATACTGTATATGCTTCCCCAAAATATTCAGAAAGTTTAAAAGCTTGTTGAAAAAAATACTGTTACACTGACAGATATTTCAATAAAAACAAAGTCTGATGGATGCAGGTAGATGTCATAGAATTTAAGTCTTCTTATTATGATGTTAATCCTCTGGATTTGCATTAAAAATGTTTTTCCCTGGAACTACAACTTTTCTAACATATAAAATTCAGGCTGTAAAACATACAGGCTGATGTAACACATCAATAGTAAAACTTACTCAGTGACTTTTTCTTTACTCTCTGTTTTCACTGCTGTCAGAGTCTTCTGTAACTCCTTGGCATGTGAAGTAAGAATTTCTTGATTCTACAACAAACAAGTTATCACTGATGTTAATCGTATGCTGGATTTCTTGATTCTACAACAAACAAGTTATCACTTATAATAATTGGATGTTAACAAGTGATGATCTATTTCATTTTTTTTTGTTCAGTTGTCTCACAATTTTATTACTACATTGACCTTGACAGGGCTACACTATCATTGAAGGGAATGTTTCCCAGAACCTTATCTATTCACCTTGACATAACCACTCAGTGCTTCTTTGAGATTCTCATTTCGTCGGTGGAGCTCTGAAAATGCCTTTTCTAGTGACTGTGTGTCTTGTACAGCCTGAAGCGAATAAAAATATTTAACAAAACTGACATGTTTATAAGTATATTCTGATTAACACAAAAGTAGTTACCTACAACATTACTCAACTGTTCTGTCAAATAACTGTCTTATTCTAGTCCATGAAAGAAAGATTGTTACTGGATTTCACTTAATATCAGTATCTATTATCAAATTACAATTGTATTATGTTGTGTTCAAATTTCATATATTCAGTGACATTTGACATCGATATAAATTATTATGGTAAATTCAACCATTTTTTTATCACAAATTAACTGTATAAAGGAATAGATAATTATGGAATCTATAGTGGGCTCTTCATTTCCAATAAAAAGGCACCAGTCCTAATGATGGAATTGTTTGTATGAGTTATTTCCCTTTACATCAGTGACCCTGATTGCATGTTGTAAACCCTATACAAGGGTAGTTGATAAAAGGCAGAACACTGTTTAGCATGTTGTCAATGTTATTAATGGTTGGACCATTAGCCTGAGTCATTTCAGAAAACATTACAGTGTCAGGCAATCAATATTTTATCACTGTATGATGGACAGAAATTTTATTCACATGTTGTTATTTGATTAAAGTAGACATACCCATGTTATGCCCATTTAAGTGATGGTCATAACCATGTATTATAGCAATATTATAGAAAGTTGAATACTAATTGTTTTCCATATCATTTATCCTGATTAATGGTAAGCTGACTTTGTAAATATTTTGACTCCAATCTCTCTGATTATAAATATTTCCAGTCATAAAGTTATCCGTTTTCAATCAGATAATGTACCTGGTCTCTCTCCTTCTGTAGCTCTTCAGTGACTGTCTTTGTACTTTCTTTCTCCTCTGTCAAAACATATAAGTTGTTATTAGACAAAAGCAAATAAAAATGAAATTCAGTAACATTGTGAGGTCTTGAATTCTTAAAAGGACATCACAGTACTACATATATTATTAATAAATACATGAATAAAATTTGGAGGGACTTTGGGGTATGACATCTTATGGTCTTTATTGGTTCTTTAGGAGTTTACTTTTATTTACTCTGAAAACCTATCAACAAATAAGATCTAAGCAAAAGATCTCCTATGAATCTAGATGCCATTGTTTGATCATCTTTCTTTGTTTTTCAAATATTGGATCTATTACATTTTTGCTCCTTTCCAGTTTTTGCTCTTAACTTTATGAAATTTGAAAAAGCCTCTTATGAAATAGCAATACTGACATCAACTATCAACTCTAAGATGATATCCTACCAGTCATTTTTTTTCTGATTAGTCCCAAGTTAAGCTAGAAATTATGAGAAACCTACATAAGAAATTTAAGAACCAGCCATTTTGCTTTTCTGATCAATCCCAAAATCATAAGAGCTTATCTAATTACTAAAAGGATCCTACATATGTAATTTGAGAAAGATCACTGCAGTGCTTTTCATGAAATAGCAATAAATTTTCATAATCAAATCCACTTTTTTCCCTTTTTTCCGATCAGTCCCAAAATCAAGATGGCACAACTAGCAGGGTGAATGGATAACCTACATATTCAATTTGAGAAAGATCCATGCTATATTTCTTAAGAAATAGCAACAAAAAACCTTTCACTGTGAAAATCCAAGTTGACCTGTCAGCCATTTTGTTTTTTTATCAGTCTCAATATGAAGAGCAAAACTGAGAATTACAGGGAACCATCATATGAAATTTTAGAAGGATTCATATTATCAACAAACTTTCACGGTCAAAATTCAAAATGGCCACCTGTTGGCATGATTTAAATTTTCTGATATGGTCTGATCTCTTAAGTGCTTCTACAGAAATAGCAATAACATGAATAAATTGAAGACAGATGTTAATCCAGGGATGAAGGATGCGTTGAACAGCCCACAATCAATAATGGACTAAAATTCTTCTTTGTAGTAATTTCACTTCTAATTCAGTCTCTTATTCTGGCTTTTATAACAAGTTATTGTGCACTTGTTTTAGTATGAAAGGCTGATAGCTTTGCTACACAACCTAAAAACAATACATATCAGTCACAAATCACTCATCTAACATATTACAGAACTGATTTCACATGAGAAGACAGTAATCACATTTACACTATGTTAACATCCAGATTAAACTTACGAATCAGTCCTTCCACTATGTTTTCTAATTCCTTTGAAAAATTCCTGAAAAAAATTACAACAAAAAAGAAAATTACCACAGAATAAAAACTGAAATATTTGTTCATTGATTTTTTTTGTTTTTTATTTTAAACAAAGTTAATTCCCAGAAATTCATGATAAAAACCATGCCTAAAGAGTGCAGGCTCCAAAGTATACCAGCACCCAGAAGGTGGTAGAATATAATCTTTTACCAAAATCTTATCAGATGCATATGCTCTTACAATTCTATTCTAAATTTTTTTAAATTAAAGCTTCATACTATAAATACACATAAAGATGAATACACTAGGACACACCAATTACTACACATCCCTCACTACTCTGAGTGTAAGATTCGGGGACAAGCCTGATAATTATTACTAGAACAAACCTGATGATTATGTAGGGTCTAGTTCAAGAAAAAACCTGACGGTAACTACATGGGGGTATGGTTAGAGAACAAACCTGATGATAACTAGATGGGGGTATGGTTAGAGAACAAATCTGATGATAACTAGATGGGGGTATGGTTAGAGAAGCCTGATAATTATGTAGGGTCATGGGGGGTATGGTTAGAGAACAAATTATTACTAGAACAAACCTGATGATTATGTAGGGTCTAGTTCTAAGAAAAAAATCTGATGATAACTACATGGGGGTATGGTTAGAGAACAAATCTGATGAAAACTACATGGGGGTATGGTTAGAGAACAAACCTGATGAAAACTACATGGGGGTATGGTTAGAGAACAAATCTGATGATAACTATGTGGGGGTATGGTTAGAGAACAAATCTGATGATAACTATGTGGGGGTATGGTTAGAGAACAAATCTGATGATAACTATGTGGGGGTATGGTTAGAGAACAAACCTGATGATAACTACATGGGGGTATGGTTAGAGAACAAACCTGATGATAACTATGTGGGGGTATGGTTAGAGAACAAACCTGATGATAACTATGTGGAGGTATGGTTAGAGAACAAACCTGATGATAACTACGTGGAGGTAAGGTTAGAAAACAAACCTGATGATAACTACGTGGGGGTATGGTTAGAGAACAAACCTGATGATAACTACGTGGAGGTAAGGTTAGAAAACAAACCTGATGATAACTACGTGGGGGTATGGGAGAACAAACCTGTATAACTACATGGTTAGAGAACAAACCTGATGATAACTATGTGGAGGTAAGGTTAGAAAACAAACCTGATGATAACTATGTGGAGGTAAGGTTAGAAAACAAACCTGATGATAACTATGTGGGGGTATGGTTAGAGAACAAACCTGATGATAACTACGTGGAGGTAAGGTTAGAGAACAAACCTGATGATAACTACGTGGAGGTAGATAACTATGTGGGGGTATGGTTAACAAACCTGATGATAACTAAGGGTAACATTAACAAACCTGATGATAACTATAGAAGTAAATAGGAATAAAACTATGTGGGGGTATGGTTAGCCACTGAAGAACAATGGAGGTAAGGTTAGAGAACAAACCTGATGGGAACTACATAGAAGTAAATAGGAATAAATAGCCACTGAAGAACAATGGGTCTCCAAGAAACAAGACTCCAGGTTTGAACTTATTTTTGCATTTAGGAATAATTTTTTTTTTTCAACAAATATCAAATGTGATTTTCAAATACTGGTAAAAACATTACTTGGATTTCTAGGACCAAGCTCTACCTATTTCTGGTCAGATTGTCAACTGAAACAGATTAGAAATATACCCAATTAGTTTTATATCTGCTTGTTTATTTTCCAATGTCTGGTTCTGTTCCTCTATTTTTGCCTTGAGTTTGTCAACCACCTTGTTCCATTCGCGGTCCAGTAAGAGCTTCTGGCCCTGAAACTCTAGGAACAAGGATGTTTTCATCTCGCACATGTCCTTGTCTGTGTATTGTAACACCTGGAGATAAAAGATGTGGTGCATGTTAGTTTGTATGGATCCAGAAGTATGCTGTGAAATATTTTAAGACTGTCTTGTATCAGCAATTTTCTGTTAACAATGCCCTTTAAATTGCATGTTTCAACAATAACCTTCCTCCATCCTGTAAACAGTCAAGACTCTCACAAATGCTATACCCAATATATAACAAAAAAACCCTTGGAAAGATACATATGTTAATGTCAGATGTACATATATTGATTTGGCTTTTATATCACAATGCTAACTACACTCTGATAGAGTATGGCACATAATTTTGCAGTTGTTAATTAAAATGAGAGAATCAAAATTAAAAAAAATCAATTGTGATTGAATAAGGTTTGATAATGATCTATGCATGTAAATGCAAATATTCTGTGTCATGTGCAAATTTAATCTATTCAAGACATCAGTATTTGTTGAAATGCCATTGGATAAATTAGAGACCTATGAGTCAGCTACTTTGTTAGGACTTTTTATCACAGATGAAATTGACATCCATCTTATTTTTTCACAGATCGAATTTTAACAATCACATCAATAGCTCATTCAAGGCATGTCTGAAATATCTGATTTATAAATCAGGTTACAAGATTATTACCTCTACAATGTTGTCATCTGAGCCACCTGCTAAATTGTCTACAGGATCTTCAGGCAGGTTTGAATTTGTCTTCACTGGTGCAGGTGTAGTTGACTGAAATGAAATATAACTTATCACAGCCAGGTCAAAAGTGTCAAATATCAGCCAAGTGTAGCCAGTTATCAGAAAAGTGACAGTCACAGCAGTAACAATTTTCAACATGACAATAGTTTCATCACAAATATTCAACTCATATAAAAAATCACACAGACCATTTGAGGGATTCAGTGGTGTATGTCTGAAATGTCACATGTCAACCTTACCTTTTTGACACTACGAGGAGGTGTGTTGGCACAGAGGAGGTCAAGCTGGGGTTTAAAGGCCTTCGGGGTAGTTGGTATACTTCCAGGTGTGAAGCCAGTGTGATGGGAGCGACTGGTTAAATTAGCAAGATGTTGTGATAGCTGTTTTGGGGGTGTTCCCATTAGTAACATGTTTTCCTCAGAGTTACACCTGCAACACACAAAATGAAGGTGTCTACTTTTTAAAACAGGAGCTGTTTGAGAACAGTACAGGATATCCTACTTTATATATAAATTTACCCCTTTGGCCCTATAGATATATGAATATGGTTCAATACACAGCTAATTATTTATATCAAAGCTTGAGCTATTCAATGATCAACATAATTGACATTTGTGATCTAGAGCTGCTTTAAAAAACTGACCAGAATGCTTTAACAGCAGACCTGCTCCCTAGAGTCACTAACACAATGCTTGAACTATTTAATGATCAACTGACAAAAGTACATTTGTGATTCAGTACCACATGAAAAAAATAAAATATTTTAAGATGGAATACTCCCGGGGTTACGACCATTTTCGCTGTCTGCATCACTGTAACATGTCATTGTAAAATTGAAGACACAAGTGAAGTAATTTGATTGGTTCCAGTAGAATCACAGGCTGACAAGCTCCTTTTGAAAATTACTAATCCACAACACCCAACTTTGAAGGCCATTATATTATACTGTTATGTGAGTCCAATATTCATTTGTTGTATATAAAAGGATCACACTAGTCTTTTCGTCTTGTCCTAAAGGTGTCATTTAAAATGTTGAGCCAATAAGTGAGTATGTAAATCTGATATCATATTGGCACAAGGCCGATCTGTCCTAAAGCTAGGCTATTGTTCTCAGGCTTCAAGCTCCAGTCTCAGACCCACAAACTTGGTACCTAGGTATTACCAAAGTACCTGATATAGCATGATAATTTGCTTGTCATTGTTTTTAACATGATTTAATTTCTGTAAGGTTCTTCCTTAATACAAGAATTTTAAGAGATAATAAATGTATCTAGTCTAACCATAATCTGTGAAAACCATTTCAGTGCAATGACTAACACCTGGTGCATAGTTCTGATATTGCCTATATATGATTAATATCTGTTTATATTTGGAAGAACATTTTATAACAGTGAAGTTAATAGTCTATTGCTAGTACATGTTATTAAAAAAGAAATGACATTACGGAATTGCATCCCACTTCAAGAAAAATAAAAAATGGATGACAGTTTCTGTACAGCTTATCTGACTCGAGCAATTTCTGGATCAAATTATTGTAAAAAGCATGCACAGATAAAAGACTTACACATCTGAAAGACTTTTCCCAGATAAACTTCTCCTTGGCATGTTCAAAATACTAGCACGCTTGAGCAAGTGCGTACTTGCACGACGTGGATCTGTAGACATGACATGAAAAAAATACAAAATGATGACAATTTTCAATATCAATTTTACAACTAATGAAATACTGCTGTATTGCAGTATAGTGCGACTTCAATACTTCATCAGCCTCGATTTCGAAAGAAGTAGCAAAGTTAACATAGGTCTCTTGCTGAAAATTATATAAGCATATAGATACATGAGTGTAAAGCAAATTAAAGCTGAAATAAAGGAGATTTAGAACAGAAAAATGACAAAACTTGCAACCTCAGGAACAGGTCAGCGCCAGCACCGATACATATTCTATGAAATTTGACAGCTACCAAAAGACATTGCAAGAAAGAATTTCATTGTTTAAAGACAACAAGGACATAACTGATAAAACTTTTCTAACCTTTACAGGAAAGAATGACTGGTCAAATTTAAATGGGAAAGAACTTTCAGAAATTTCAGTTGCAGTAAAATCTCATTTCCAGAAGACCAAGCTTCCAGAAATTCTATCCTCATTCCAAAAGTGTTCATGGTATTCTTTGAACAAGTGACATGGCCACCAAAATTTACCTATGTCACATTTAACTGCATCTAGACCAAATATTTCTGTCTCTAAAATGATAGTTTAATGTCCATATCCACATTCAATATGTTGTTAATGATATTTACATTTTTACTGATTATTAGTATTTTAGAGACAGAACAGAGGTGTTCGTAAAAGTGGTGGAATCGCATCCAACATAAATGTGGTGAATTAAACAACTATTCCCGCAACGTAATCAGAAATGATGGGTTCCTGTCAAAGAAAAACAAGTTTATTTGCCTCACTAACCTTTTCAGACTTTGAAGTTTGCTATTTTTAAGTCATTCCACTGTTTTTTCCACTCATTGCTTCAACTTAGAAATCTGATTGTGCTGACATACCAGTTATACTTAGCCTGGTACTACCTGGCACTGTCCTACAATACAGCTCAATAAAGATGGGCTCTACCAGAGGATGCCAGGATGTATGGTGTCAAACTTCCCAACAATCACTCCTGAGTGTTTATACAGGTGTTAGACAGGACAGCAGATAGTTACGGTATTAACTGTGATATGATTACAAAATGTATAGTGTAACCTTTCATATTGACTTTTTTCTCAAATTGTTGTAGAAAGAAATAAGCCACAGCTGTAATCTAAGTTTGTTTTAGTAAAAAACAAAATTACAAAACCAGCACATCAAACAGCAGTGTGTGAATGGACTATTCAACATCATTCCCCATGTACATTTACCATTATTTTAAGCAGATAAGGTTATTTTACAGCAAATGTACAATAAGAACATATAATCATGATTTCACTAGCTTCTGATGTTGTTAAAATAAGACGATGCAAAATTATTCATCATTCCACATTCTATTCTCATGGATGAGCTTTCTGCATATTACATTTCGCTGTGAATGAACACTGATGTGAATGACATTTTTTACTGATTTCTCTTCATTCTCAAAACACTGAAATTATTAGTCAAACCTTTGGTTCAATCATAAATAGGAAAGATCAAAGAATAGAAATTAAGTCATACACATACAAAGAATAGAGTATTGATTATGTCATCCTCAGAAACCGGGCATTTGTCGGCGATCACTTCCTACAGCCTATGAACAACTTCCTCTGTTTACTTCAATACCAGATATCTCTCGAACTATTGACATGGTCCCAAATACCTAGCTGGGTTTTACTATATACAAACATGTATTTTATTTTTCCTTATTAAAAATAGAATTAAATCTAAATCTGTTAAATTACATTCTAAAGATTGTCTGTGATGTAATGTTAACTTTTTTGTATACCTTTCCATTTCAGAATATTTTATTGATATAAACAACCAAGAGGATTAGACACCAGACTAGAGCCTAAATAAGTCTTCTCCAAAAATGTATACCTACCAGATGCAGGGAGGTCAACCAAAGGATCAAACTTGACATACAGCGACATTCGGGCAAGGTCAGATACCTTGCTTTCCTGTGAAATAGTCAAAAGTCAGATAAGAAAAATATATGGAAACATCACAGATTCATAGCATATGAAATATGATAACAAGAGCTTTTTGAGAACAGAATAAGTTACCTATTGATGATATGTTCCATTTGATTATCAACAAACATTCAAAGATGCAAACATATCTGAAATACACTGTAGTCTGATTGAATAAATAAAGGGTTTGGGAGGGAGAAGTAGAAATATTAGTCTCATTTTAAATGTGAAAAATATTGTAAACAAGCTTGTTATTTGCAAAGAGATGAAGAGTGACCCTTTCATCTTAACTAATGGCTACCAAATTCAAAGCAGGTGTAGATATTAGTGTTACGATGCTCCAGTGTGAATCTGGAATGGATCTGTTCACTTGTTTACGAGATATCATGTGAACAAGTTTTTTATTTCCAAAGCGGTCAAGTGTGACTTTTGACGTTTGCAGTGACCACCAAAATCTAATCAAGTGTAGACATTAGTAGTATGATGCTCTGGTGTGAATATAAAACAAATCAGGCCTCTCTCTTACTTAAGTGGAGGGGAATAAAAACCTAACTGAATACTTCCTCCCAAAATTAACTAATAAATCTAAAAGCAACACCTTGGGTCTCATAAATATGAAAAATATGGTTTGGTACATTGATAACAGTTAATATTTCTACCTTTACTATTCATAATCAACATTTTGAGGACAATAGTGTTCAAGCACTGCTTAAAAAAACTTGCTCAAAAACAGTCAACAATGGTTTCACTTAAAATATACAAAGCTTGATTCTTCTCTGCATCATTGAAGTACATCAAAGATTCAAGGTATCATGGTTACTGAATCATGCAAACGTGTGACTTTTTTGACAAGGCACTCAAGGATTTTGCAATGAATTATAATGGTAAAATTAACCTGCTCTAATTCAAACAGCTTATCAAAAGCCCAATCTCACCCTGGAATATAATGAATTTGGGCATTTTCATGACTTGCACCAATCAAAAGACAGCTATTGGAGGGGTGGGGATTGGATCTATATGAGCCTTGGGTACTTCAGATTTTATGTTTGCATCAGAAATGCCAGCAAGATGGCTCCATTGTTGCTGATGAGAGTAACAGTGATGTAAGTTTGGAAATACATCAATGATTTAATAGTTCTGTTGACAGTGAAAACTTTTTTTTAAACAGGTGGGTGGATAATAAAGAGTTTACCAGATCATACAGAAGTTGTAAGAAGTTCCTGAAGAAAAGATGGTCTAATGAATGTGATGTTTAATCACGTACTTCTGGAAATGCCATGACTCAATTTACTATGTCTTTTGGGGGTTACTCATGTGTTGTTCCTCGACAGGGTATCACTACAAATTTTGTGACTTTGTTATTTGAAGTTTTTTTGTGATGCAGTAGTTACAGAGATAAGGCATAGGCCATTATTGTTACATAAACAAAGTTATTGCAGAGCATAAACTTAAACAAGTTGTGTAAAACCTGACTGCTTCAAACTTCAATGCAGTCATGCATGCTATGTTCATTGCTTTTGTTATCACCATAGGTATGACCTGTAGTGTCAAGCTGGTCAATAAATGAGGTTTAATATTTTTTCATACCTAACAGACTTACCTTAATTGTCTCACCTGTAGCTGCTCTGTCATTAAAGTAATCTGAGAAATACATGTACTTACACTGATGTATAGAAAAATTCTTTCTGAACAAAATGATACCTGATCATAGCAGTTAATGTCCATAGATATTAACTGTACAGTTAATATAAAATGATGTACCTATAACTAATAAAACTCACAAAAAGAATCCTGCAGTGGGGTGTATACATACACATATGATAAACAGCAGTGGGGCGCTATGTTATGCATTCAATATATGACAGATTAAGAGTTAAGCACCAATCAAAAGGCTGATATGTGTACTTTAATTTTGTATATTAAAATGGTGGAGCAAAGGTTAATGTTAGCTGAAGTAAGTCTTGATTTCAAAATATGATACAGCTAAACAAATAAAAAGCTGACAAGATCTATGGAGTAGTAATTGTAACAAAGAATGTGCTGACGAATATGACGATTTTATTATGTGCGAGGTGTAAAGATCAAGATGCTGCAGTACTTACATTATTGCTGCTGCCAAACTTCTCCAGCACATCTAGGAACCCAGTGTCATTGAATACTAGCAAAATACAACAATAATTTACCACATATTGGCACTTAGTAAAAAAGCTAGTCCCAGAAAGTCCAGAAACATTTCATACTTTAACCATCTGGTCAATTTTTTCTCAAGTTTTAAACTAGAATACAAGCTTTACCGCACATTTCACATCATTCTTCACATGTGTAACAGGAAATAATCCTGATTATAGGTGAACATGATCCTTGACATGCAATTTTTTCTTATAATCTGATTCCTTCTATGCCAACTCCTTTCCTATATGCTTCTAATTAACATTAATAACTTACTACATTCTGTTGCTGGTCGGAACTCCTCTTCAGAAAAGTCAGGGACACTACCTGCACTCTCTACATTTCTACTCCCAAGTTTAGCCTTCAAACAGATAATCAACATATGTGCCGTAAGTATTGTTGTATAAATAATTCAATGAAAAACATGTTAAAGGAACTACCTATTGCCTGGTACAATTCTTTGATCAGAGTTAACTACTGCTATATCAAGTAAGCAGTACAAAACAACTAGTCTATCAAAAAGCAACATTATCTCAGAGACTAATATAAAACAATTGTTATTACAATATCAGGTGTTGTCATGGTTGGATTATCAGTAAATCACCAAAATGACCATGGTACAAGAAACATTTCTAAACAAGTCTTAAACAATGTTGTTATACTGTAATCCTGAGTAAAAATAATCGGATGCCACTTCTCCACAGAAACTCAAATCATCCCACTTTCCCAACAGGTATGCACACAAACAAAATAAATTTTGGCCAGAGTGTTTCACAACGAGTGAACACAACAAGACAGTTTATTTCTGAAGCAACCAACATGTAAAGAGATAACTGCATGCAATGTCTGGCAACTGTACAAAGTATATAGCTTGGTACAGAGTAAAGCTAAGGTCTTTTCAATAGTGATATGAGATTGTTTGTTTGGTTGCTCGCTGGGTTTTTTTTTTTCTTTTTCCCCTCATCAACACTTTTCAACAGCCACTGAGGTGTGTGTCAACTTAATAGCTTGCGGTTTCCTCATTGTATAACCCATAGAAGACTTATTGCATGCAGGCCAAAGCATCTGGGGTATAGTGTCCTGTACATGACAGTACAGGACAATTTGTTATCTTCTAATATAAACTGTACCATGAAGGAATCATGGAACAATACACCTCACATCCAACACTTCACTACTAACAACCACTGTGTGTATATCAAATGACTGATGTAAAAAATCTGAAATGTTTTAACATCAGAATAGATTTCTAGAATGCCAACAAATTTAAACTTACCTCAGTGGTTTCATTGCCTGAGCTTGATGGCCCATTTCTAAAACGAATAAAAGAGATAAAAGATATTGTCAATCTTTAGTAGACATATATTTGAGACAACAAAATAGGTAAAATTTACTCATTTGGCCAGCTAATATTCTCCACTCCCAGATTTTGTTAATAAGAAAAAGGGATTATCAAAGTGTGACTATCTAAGGTACCTGTAAAAGTAACAAATTTCACTCATAAATATCGATCAAGGAGGTAAGTATGATAATTTCCTTGGACAATAAAAGAATCATGAAAGCATAACTATCTCAGGTATGATTACCTAGGGCAGTGATCCTCAGATAACAGGAGTACTAGGAAAAAAAAAAAAAGTATATGATCAAAGGGGCATAACTCTTGAAGAAATGTAATTAACAGTTAATTATATATGGATCATATGTACTAACTTTCACAAACATAGCAATCACTAGATATTCAGGTAACAAAGTCTTTCCAGTGTTGTATTTCATACTTTGGTTTTTCTTTTATATATAGATATGCTAACTAAAAATCAAGGTTTTCTCCAAGAAACTTTAACATGCCAAAGGCAAAATGGCAGATATCCCAGCCACCAATTTGGACTGGCTGCTCTTAAAAACTTACCCTTGATGTACAGTCTGCGATGGCAAGTTCGGGACTTCAGATGAAGGTGCTTGATGTGACGGAGAATTTGAAACTTTTGATTTTGTTGCAAAGGGGTCTGTTAAGCTATTTGCTGCTGAATGTGCTGGTGAATTGGCTACCTTGGATTTTGTGGTAAATGGATCAGACATTGAATCTTCTGCTGATGTTGCTGAAGGTGCTGGTGAATTGGCTACCTTAGATTTTGTGGTGAACGGGTCAATCATTGGATCTACATCTGATGTTGCTGAAGGTGCTGGTGAATTGGCTACCTTGGCTTTTGTGGTAAACGGATCAGACATTGGATCTTCTGCTGATGTTGCTGAAGGTGCTGGTGAATTGGCTACCTTGGATTTTGTGGTAAACGGATCAGACATTGTATCTTCTGCTGATGTTGCTGAAGGTGCTGGTGAATTGGCTACCTTGGATTTTGTGGTAAATGGATCAGACATTGGATCTTCTGCTGATGTTGCTGAAGGTGCTGGTGAATTGGCTACCTTGGATTTTGTGGTAAATGGATCAGGCATTGTATCTTCTGCTGATGTTGCTGAAGGTGCTGGTGAATTGGCTACCTTGGATTTTGTGGTAAATGGATCAGACATTGGATCTTCTGCTGATGTTGCTGAAGGTGCTGGTGAATTGGCTATCTTGGATTTTGTGGTAAATGGATCAGGCATTGTATCTTCTGCTGATGTTGCTGAAGGTGCTGGTGAATTGGCTACCTTGGCTTTTGTGGTAAACGGATCAGACATTGGATCTTCTGCTGATGTTGCTGAAGGTGCTGGTGAATTGGCTACCTTGGATTTTGTGGTAAACGGATCAGACTTTGTATCTTCTGCTGATGTTGCTGAAGGTGCTGGTGAATTGGCTACCTTGGCTTTTGTGGTAAACGGATCAAACATTGGATCTTCTGCTGATGTTGCTGAATGTGCTGGTGAATTGGCTACCTTAGATTTTGTGGTGAACGGGTCAATAATTGGATCTTCTGCTGATGTTGCTGGAGGTGCTGGTGAATTGGGCACCTTAGATTTTGTGGTAAAGGGGTCCAAATCTGCTAAAGGATCATTCCTCAGTGTGGTTGAAGGTAGTGGAGAGTTAGAAGCATCAGATTTTAAGGTGGATGGGTCATTTCCTAGTAACAACATGGTTCCATCTTGTTCTTCTTTAGCAGGAGCTGAATATTTGTCAGTATTTGAATCATTATCACAAATACCTTTGACTGCACTTTCAGAAGCTGTCAATACATGAGAGCTGGAAGTTCTGGTTGACAGTCCAGGTTCATGTAATTTTAGATCTTCTGTTTTTTCTTCATCTGACTGAGTATTGGCAGTTTTCAAAATTTCTAAAGACCCTGGGGATTTCTTATTGTATGAGATTAATGGATTCCCTTCAATAACTGATGCTCCAGGCATTGGAGAATTCACAACATTGGTTTTTGTTAAAAAGGGATTAGAACTGTTCAACACATCACTAGACACAAATGATGTCGATGAACGGATCATATTTGACTCTGGTAATGGCAAGGTTGCACTGTCAGATTTTGATGAAAGCTTCTCCACATCATCCTTTTCATCAGAGGTTTGCATCTGTGAGCAACCCGAGCTCCTGTCAACAGGTGGTAGAATTGGGGAATTACAAACATTAGCTTTAGTAGCAAATGGATTTGAATTACCCAACACTGTTGCTTGTATTGGAGAATTAACAACATTAGATTTCGTTGAAAATGGATCATCATCAACTGTAGTTTCTTCAATACCGACATCCTTATCATGTGCTTGTAACTGGGTTTGAACAGGTTTGGCTGAAACAGGAGAATTCTTCACCTGAGACTTTGTTGCAAATGGATCTGCTTTGTCATCAAAGTCGATGTTGTAAACCCCTTTCACCTCAACATCAGGAAGCATTTCCGATAAAAGATCTGCGCCAGCCTCTGCTTTGATGTCCAGTAAACCTTCCAGTATTTGCGAATCAAATACACTTTCCTCTTTACCTGATTGAATTGGCACTTCTTCAGGAACAAGCTTATCTGTAGAATCTACTTTGCCGTGTGTTTCAACACTCAAGACTGGTGAATTGCTTACAGCACATTTCTTTGAAAATGGATCATCATCAACCGTAGTTTCTTCAATACTGACATCCTTATCATGTGCTTGTAACTGGGTTTGAACAGGTTTGGCTGAAACAGGAGAATTCTTCACCTGAGACTTTGTTGCAAATGGATCTGCTTTGTCATCAAAGTCGATGTTGTAAACCCCTTTCACCTCAACATCAGGAAGCATTTCCGATAAAAGATCTGCGCCAGCCTCTGCTTTGATGTCCAGTAAACCTTCCAGTATTTGCGAATCAAATACACTTTCCTCTTTACCTGACTGAATTGGCACTTCTTCAGGAACAATCTTGTCTATAGAATCTACTTTGCCGTGTGTTTCAACATTAAAGACTGGTGAATTGCTTACAGCACTCTTGGAGTGGAACGGATTACAACTGTCTAAATTGTCAAAGTCAATCGTGTAGGCCCCTTTGCTTGCTTGAAGTGGAGGAGATGTGACCATGGTGACAGGATTGTCCTGAATCATCTCTTCTCCAACTACTTTGTTCTCAATCAAAGTGTTGTTGCAAATCACTGTTGTATCTATTACAGTTTCATCACATTCCATTTTCTCCTCATTTCGCAAGTCATCAGTTTCAGCACACTCCATGCTGACATCAAGTATTCCTGTAGCACCTGACACAACAGACATTGGTAATGCATGATCTACCTGCTGTGTTGCAGGTGTAGAATCAATTGTCTGTTTTGGGACAGGTGGTGTGATATCAGGACCTGATGCTGGGTGTCTACAGATATCAGATGTGGCTTTTTCAGTCTCTTCTTTGGCATCAAAGAATGTCTCCTCATCATCACTTTCATTTCCAGGCTTGTTCATGGTAGTCTCACTGAAACAAAAAAAATATAATAAAATCTAACTGCATGCAGTGCATTGTTCCACATCCATAGAGAAAAACTTAGCTTTAACATTAACCTCAGATATTTAAACAGACTATAGTGTACTGTAGATATTTTTGAAAACAAAAAACTTTAAATGCTTTCATGCAAATATTTTTACACTCCAATTCTGCAGCAGAACTTGAGGGATGAGATAATAGATCTCTTATGCCTACCAATCAGACATTTTCAATCCCTTAACTTTTAACTGATAAAACATAGAAATTCCAGCTGGTGAGTTATGAAATAAGGGTACATGTGTATAAGAATTAATTTAATATAAAGCAGTATGCTTGACTAAGTTCTTTTAAAGACATTGGTTGTAACCTGTTACCATTGACAATGGCATTGTTTGCATAGTACAACATTGAAAATGTGTTAAAATCAGACAGATCTGGGCTCGAATACAGAATTCAGAATATTGTTTTCTTCTGTCATTGAAATGAATGCCACTTGTCAGCAATTTTGTTTTTCCTATTAGATCAAACATTATATTAGAACTAGTTGATGTATGAAAACTAAAAACACACAAAGGAATTGCAATCAGCATGTATAATATTAATTAGACTTGCACTTTAATTAAGTCTGAAAGAAATCAGTTGCAAATTGAGAAATCTCCTGACAAAGAGATCTTCCATATACTGTCATGCGATAAAAAAAACAATTTTAATGCTGATTGAATATAGACAAACTTCAAAATTTCCCTCATTAATAGGCAGTGCTCCCAGATGTCTATTCATATTTTCTTAATCTTATTGGACAATGAAGTGTCCAGCTTGACCAAAAGAATACTTTGCTAAAATAGCATGATTTCAAGCTTTATCTAGAATGATGGCAATTTGTAACGAAAATGAGGCTACATAAACAAATGAAGAGTGTGTCAAAATGTTGAAGAGCAGCATATAAAGTGACATTATGAGATTTAAAAGCTGCCTAATTTGCATGTTCTCAGCCTGACAAGCTCATCCGAAAAGATTTCCTTTAGTAGTTATGCTATTAGGAAATGTTTTGGAACTTAGTTGAATATTATATTCAATTAAGGATATGAACAAATTTTAATCCATACTTTGTTTGATTTTAGTGTAAAATGGACATTTTCTTTGAACAGCAGTGACCACTTTTAATCATCCATACCAATTTGATATATATCAGTTGAAAACTGAGGGAGACCTTACAAATAAAAGTTAATGACAGATGAACAATGATAACAGATGGGCAATGCCATATCATTATATATTCTCTCTTGACAGATTTTGACAGGTGTATGAACAGTGATTTTGGTGTTAAGAATCATCCTCTCACTTAGCTATGAATCTCATTTTAAAGATTTACCTTTTAGATAACGGCAGGTTTTCTACAACGTTGTTGAGAATATCTTTCGCATATTCTATATTTAAATTATGATCTGTTTTCGTAACTATGGTGGTCCTCTCAATCCAGTTTTCTTTCTCATCAAGATCAGCGATCTGTTCATACCGTGTGGGTGTGACCTTCTTCACAGAGTGAGGGGTTTCAAACTTCACCTATGAAGAAATTACAACATATATACCATACTTTTTGTGTCTTAATCTTTATGAAATGAAGACAGAAATTATTAACTCATGATTGATTGATGTAATAATTCACACAATGTGCAAAACAGCAAACAACAATGACCTGGTGGTATAGTTCAAACATCAACGGCTCTACATAATTTGATTTATGCTTTCACATTAACCATACTGTAAACATACTTTTTATGATGAAATCATAGATCACGTTTTGCCCGTGCCAGCTGATATAACTTGAGATCTCTGGATTACAAGCATGAAAGCATGGAATGTTGCTGTGTTTATTGTCAAAGAGTATACAGTGTTTCACTACACAATTTGGTAAGGTATTTGTGCCAAGACTATTCTAATTCATTATGTCAGGTATGCTCCGTAAACACCAATATGACAACTCTAATAAGCATTAATCTGTAGCCATAAGTTTTATTCGACATTCCGCATGTGGAATTAAGAATTAACTTCAATCTTAAACATTTTTGTGCATAATGAAATTTTACCTATGATTTCTCTGCATGTGTGTCCTTACAACTTCATCTTGAAGTTAGTTCTCTGTCAGTACTGAGTTAAGCATTTTCCTAGATTTCACTGCAATGCACATGCATGTTTTGAGTTAGGATTTGAACTAAAACATAGGCATGTTTAGAGTTCAGATTTTAATTAAAACATTTCTACATTTACCTTTAGATTTTTTGGCTGAGGTTTGGGTGTATGGAGCTGCATTAAGTTTCCCTTAGTGGATGGCTTTAGGATAGAATTGACCACCACTGGTGTCTGTGTCAACTGTGGCGGCAAAAAGTTTTCATCTCCGGTCAGGGTGTCATTACCCTCTGTCATAGAGAATTCCATCAAATCCATTCTTCATTAGTATATACCACCTGCAGGTCTGTAAGTTTGAATTGAAAAACAAATGGAAAGGTAATTGCAATACAAAATTAGAAATCGCAAGATCATGATGTGGTAAAATAGATCCAAATATTTTTCTATTAAATTGTTTTTCTGTGTCCTCTTTCCATGAGCTAAAAATGTTGATGGCTTTCAACCTTTGACTTTCAGATTTCTGTAGCTATTGATTTGATTTCATAATTTTTATCACTGCAACTTTAAGGTGTGACATCCCCAAATGTGAGAGCATATTTCTTACTTCCTGTATATTTCCTGTGTGTGAAACTGTGAATACATTTGTATAGTAGAATGACAAAAATATTTCACAATTTGTTATTATATGCTGAACCTCACCACAAAGTACCAAGACCTATGTGTAATTTAATGTCTCACCTGTCCTTCTTTGTCATTATGGTACTTTTAAGCTAGAAGCAATGTACTCTAACATAACATGTCTTACTAGACCACTCCCCCACCCCAACCGCCAATTAAAAATCCAAGTTAATTTTCATTAATAGCATATAAGCACTATAGATATTTTGATAGATTGTGAAACATCAAATGAAAATTTCATATATCCTTCAATTTTCAAAATTCCATCAAATTCATGTATGACAATTTTACCACAAAAATTATCGCTCTTCCCTGGGAAGGAGAAGAAAACTCCATTGATATTTACAGTATCCTTTTTAACATGACATATAAACTGAATATGAAATGAAGAGAACAAGCCATAATGAATTTGTAATTTATCATTTCTCAAAATCTTAAGTTTTTGACCTATAATTATTTGTACACCAAAAATATAAACATCATGTATTGCATTGGGTAGTATCAGTTGACCATACTTCAATGTCACTGTATTCTCAGTTTGATTAGAAAATCAGTTGTATGAGAAACTGAGCAAATCATAGAAACTTTAATGCATTAATATCATATTTAAACACTCTATGTTTGATCTTCACTTCTGTCATTATGATTAAGGAATATTCATCAATTACTCATAAATAGGAAGAACAACTTCAAGATCATATTACAGATCCAATGAAAATATTGGGTTTGGAGTTCTAGTTCCAAATGAAAAGATGTACCAAATCATTCCAAAGGGCAACCTGTTAAAAATCTTAACCACTGATATGCACAAGGACATATATAGTCATAATAAGATAAATCAAAGTACTGAAAGTACCTAGAGGCTAAACGTATTGAAAAATGTTCATTTCCCCATACTCCAACACTTTGGAATGCAAAAATTACTAAAATAAGAGAACCAAAGGCTATTTTTCTTAATTTTAAGCCATTTTATATCTTCTTTAATTCTTATTTCTTTGACAACAATAATGTGAATAAATCAAAATAGGTAAAAAAATAACAAAATACACACAACCATATATTTATCGCCAACAAGCCAAATGATCAATAGCTCTATGATGAAGTTAACTAAATAAAACTTTAAAATACCCAAGATGTTGCAATTACTATCCTATCAATATGAGGATTTAAACAAATCGAAAGGACTTTATACCTACTTCTTTATTTTTAATGTATTGCAAAGTAATAGTCCTTACTTATTATAATCATATTTGTAGTAGAGGAAAGTAGATAAGGTATACACAGCATTTCAGATAGATAAAAGTGTAAGTAATTACATTAAATGTATTTACATGCCTATCTTCCTTGAAGTATCATGGTTAGACTTTTCTTCCAGCAATTATGTCTATAAAGGCATAGTTCTATGAGATTAAACCAGACTTCCATATATATACAAAATTTACAATATTTTCACTATAGCTACTACTATTTCTGATCTCCAATGCATTAGATAATGTCACCATGACACGCTAAATGAATAAATATGTTACGGAAATATTTCTTTCTAGTTAATTGATAATAATAAACATGAATATTTTGGGGTTTTTTATACGCGTTTTGTTTGAAGGAATATTTTCATTTCAAGGAACTGTGATACACATTAACAAACATTGAGAAATCAGCACAATCAACCTTCATCAAATAAAACTAAAAGACAAAAAATATAAGTTATGACAGAGTCAAAATCATGATCAGTACAGTATTAAAAATATATCTTTCATAAATCATGAGCACCAAATGTACCTTGCCTACAAAGCGCAAACTTTTTATCTTCAAAAACTTGAAAAAAGTGTCATGGCGGTGGTTGTGAAAACCCTGAAAAAGTGTCGTATCGGCGGGGTGCGCGTAGGACGAACAGTCCAATTTTGTGACGTCTAATGAGGTCAAGTGATGTTATATATTAAGACGATCTTGCCACAACGACAAGGATTAAAGCAAAATTGATGTTCTGTTTGTAAGTTTTGTTTTTTATAAGTGCTGTTAGTTGATAATTCAAACCAAGCCCCCAGACTAGCTTCTTATCATGGCGCCAACTCGCACGTACAGTGTTCTGTATGCTTACGTCATGTCACGAATTCCGTAAAACATATTGTTCAAAATTTATCAATAGTTCAACCAATAAACTAATTTTGGATACTTTTAAAATAGCCATTTGAAAAATCGCGGCATTATTTACGCAGAAAATTGCCGCTAGAGGGCTCTAACTCTTTTCGATATTTCAGCCAATGAGAAGGCCAGGATCGGTAAATTTTGTCTGAAAGGCCGTCGCAATAGGCTATGCGTACTGAGCACGTTTAGCCTAAAAATGAGCAGGGGCTCAACACATCTAGATATATACCTCTAAATCTATTGTGGGGTTAATCTATTAGGGCTTAATGAATCCTTGACTGATGTTCACCAAGATTTAATATGGGTCCTTGAAAGTATGATAATAACAGCTATGGCGTGAGTATGAACTTAAATTGTTCAAGGGTTCATGCAATATGCCGTAAAGATTTTTTTATTTGAAAAGTGTTCTCAAAGCATAATTTTGAAGACATCCCACTAGACCCTTTTATTGCTTTGACTTAACACTAACAAGATATGTTGCAGCAAGAGGACCAGATAAGGACAGAGAGTAGGAGGAGGAGGAAGTGGATCCTACACATTATGAATTTCGATATGTTTTAACATATAATATTAACTAAATTTGTCCTTGGGTTGACGGTATCTTACAAAGGGTTGTCACGGAGGGATGGGCCAGTACACCCCTTCACCTAAGTGGCGGGTATTATTAGCGATGAATACCTATATTCAATGTATCTATTGCTAGTGGTATCATATAAGATACCCATATGTATGATGACTGCCATTCCCTAGTCATGTTAGAAGAGTAGCCGATAAGGCTGTCTTTCTGTGGTTTTCAAATTAAATCCGATTGCATTGCTTTTACAAATATGCCTTGCCAACAATGAAATGTGATGAGCAAAAGGATAAATCAACGTTGCCGAAATATGACAACCTCTGACTTTAAAATCAAGACAGTTCACAGGCCAAGAAAATGACATTGTACTCACCCTGCTATATGCAATGCATACAGTATGAAAACAAACTCAGGATTTTCTCGTTTCAAAAACCCGCTAATAAGTACTGCGCATGTCTTAAATTTTGATTATTTGAGTTACTTCGTGGTTTACCCAATCATCGGTGCACACCGACGACTGGACTCCTCAGGTTATCCATTTCGGATACTATTGGAGTTTTACACTATGGTCTACGTATTTCTCTCGGTAGCCAATCAAAAACGATGTAAATATCTTTTTCCAATATGGCCACCGGAGACACAGCACTATGGCTGCACAATAAGTTAGGATCAACGGACGATTTGTGGTCTGGGAAGACAATATGCGCTCAACTGTCACAGCAAAAACTCCAGAGCATTCACCAATGTTTCCACGCACTCCAGCCTCATGTCAAAGTGAAGCTTATGTTGTCATTCCTTCATATTCATCGCCGAAATGTAGAACAGGTGTGAACTTCAGTCTGACATGAAGAATATATATATTCCATCTGTCTTTTAATTCGCGACAACCGATCATAAATGTAAATTACTGGAATTCTAGGCTTCCGAATTCAGCCAAGATTAAAAGATAACATGTGCCCTCGGCATATTCAAAATGACGTAATTGATATAAAATGCGTTACCTACTGATCTTCAAGTTCGCAGACATGCCTGGGATCTTTTCTAGCAAGCCAAGTGGTGAAGCATGCACTCTTTTTGTGTGAAAAGCAGTAAATTTAACCCCCACCCTTTTTTAATTGTTGTTTACATGTATTTATGATAATTGAATAATGGAATGAGACTGAAACAAGACAAATATAGTGAATGCATCGTTGGTCAAAATCTGAAATTGAATTCAAATGTGGTTATTAACTAGAATCTAGTTCAAGTATTTTTTGTCATATTTTCGTCTGCATTACTGTGTTCTTGTCTCACAGACGAAAGTCAATATGCTGTTTTTATGGTGTTTTCTATATTAAAATTATATGCAAAATTGCTCTTTTGGTGACAAGATTTTTACATAGTCAAAACATATAATTCCAAATTAACAGATATTATTCTAACTGCTGCAAACAGTACTTAGTTTGAATATGAAATATAGTTTAGATGAACAATAGTATATATTCTGGTATCAATGAATAAAGTCCTAACTACTTGTAATCAAGTTAGAGGAGGATGCAGCATGCACCACAAAAGCCTTTGTGATATGTTCATATAATGGAGGTAGTTTTTACCTTGTTTATCCATGACCAGCTGCATGGCCTTTTTTGAAAATTTTCGAGGGTTGGTTGAGCATGACTGTATCTCCACTTGAGTACTGGCCATGGTTTTAGGACCATCCATAGTCAGGTAAAGGCAACACCGATGGAAAGGAAGTAAATTCCTCCAGTCACTGATTTCAATTTCAAAACGCTAGTCTTTAAAGAACTGGGCTCAGGCGCGCAAGACATCCCTTTTGTTAACATTATCAGTTTGTTGTTTATATGACAGAATATATAAGTGGGATTACTAGAGAACAAATGTTTTTACACATTTATGTTTTCAGTGGCGAATGGACATGGAGGAGATATTACTGATGGCTATACATGACAGTGACCAGTGGGTATCCATGGTCGGGGAGATACTCAGACCCTTCCCATCTACTGGGTCACTCAATCTTGACCTCAACGATAACAATGCCACCTTTACAGAGATCCTGACAGATCTCAATAAAGTTGGTGAGTTCTTTCTATATCTTCAATATTGTACATGCAGTGTACTGAGGTAGTAGTTCATTCTCTGTATTAATCATAATGGCTGTTTGCTATATCATCACCAGAAACTATCAAGTCATGTTTTATATATTCTAGTTTATACCATCTAAAGTAGCAAGTAAAACCTTACAATAGAATGGGCTTAATTTGCCTGTACTATGTTTTTAAGTGTATTTAAGACATTGATGTCATTTACATCTGATTAAAAGTAGCGTTATTGACAGGTACAGAAAATGTGTGTAAATCTTGTAGAATGATATATACATGTAATTAAAACAGTTCAGACTTATCATCTACTTAAATTTTGCTTGTTGAAACTTGCAGCATACTTCACTCATTTGAAGGAACATTACATCATTGACAATATTTTAAGATACAAAAATAAAACTGAATGGTAAAATATCTATTTTCTGTAACAGGAAAAAGTTATTTACATCAATGTGTCGGTCAAAGACTGATGATAACCTGAAGTTCTTGAATTACAAAATATTTGAAATTCTTGATTTGATCCATAATGCAAAGATATAATTACTAGTGCATAAAGACAGCATATATACCTGACACATGTATTTTCTGTACATTTCTTTTCTTAAATTTAGTTGTAAATTTTAAACTGCTTAGCATAGAATATATCTGTCCTTGGAATAAAGGAATGCCCTTTGATTTACTTAGATTATATTCAGCATTGCACAATGGTCTTCTATTTTGCAGTAAAGAAAGCTGCAAGTGTTCGAATGCTGCCAATGGAGTGCCAGTTTCTGAACAAGACTGCCTTCACTGCCGTGGCTGGGGCTCAGCCAGCACCAGTGAAACATTTTGCCTTGAAGAGAAAGCCAAAGTCTGCCATTCTTAGGGCTGAACTTTTACAGAAATGTAAGTTTCATATTATTAACGACAGAAAACTTGGATGCATTTTCTATTTTCATGATGACAGATTTTTTCTCACAAGCTGAAGTGTTTATCATACAGTAAGGAAGTGTAATTTATTTCCAACTTATGTTGTATTTGTCCTAAAAATATTTCACTTGGATATGTATGTAATTTTTCAGCATCTGAAGTAGCATCAAACAAGAAGAATAATATTCCTAACAGCATACCAGTAAAGATGCGTAGCTTTGCCAAGAAAATGGATGATGGCAGTGAGTGTCCTTTATCTTATTTGTGTGCTATGTCCATCACCACCACTTAATTATAATGATAGAAAATGAATAGATCATTTTAATCATTCAATATGCTTGAAATTTCATTTGTTTTCAGTTCATATACATGTAGACTTTATTTTCAATGTTCTTTAAAAAGGAATTTTTCTTGAATAGAAAAAGTGATGTTTTATTTTAACAAATCACTAAACATTTAACTAACAATCACAATGTGTACTTGGAGTATACTAAATCATTATGAAACAGACTGCTTTAGCATTGCATTCTATAAGATATCAGACAAAAATTGAGACAGTATCTTACTGATGTACAGTAATTGACCTGTTTCGAGGGAATACAATCATTTATCAAATTGAAAAGTGGTGCTGAGGGAAATATTACTAACAGGATGATAACTGTTTTATTATAGGTAATTTCCTAAACATTTTTCTATGATGGAGAAAATATATATATATACATATATATAAGTAATTTCCTATCATTAGAGTGAATAGAAAGAAATATTGGTGAATGACAAGAGGATGTACAGAGTGCAAGATTGAAAATTACAAAAAAGAAATGGAAAAAAAAAGCAGTATGAATTTTAAGTTCATGGATAATTTAATGTTGTTTGAAATTGAACAAAATCAACAATTCAAATATGTTACAATCATGATATTATATAACACCATTTCATTTGATTTGTCATTTTCAGAGGAAACTGTAGTGTAACCATTCAACAAAAACATGGGAAAGCTTTAGTTACTAGATAGATTTAGTTACAAACTAAAGCTATTGGATTGTTAAAGCAACCCAAGGTGCTGATTTTGTTAAAATGTTTAGAATTGGTCAATAAGGAGAGGCGGGGGGAAAACACTGTTGGTAATAATTATAATTGTTTACACATTTGGGTTAAATAAAAGTTTTTATATACCCTGAAGCTCCCTTAAAAGGCATGCCTGGACGGACTGCCAGCACTCCAGGATTTAGGTCACCTTCAGCAGGACTCAATCGCCTAAATTCATCTCCAATGGGAGGTGGAACACCCCTGTCTTCTCATCGACCCAATTCCATGCGTAAAGAAGGCGGTATTAAGGTATGTTATTGTTTTTAGAAGATCAGGTAATATTAACGTTGTTAGCAGAATAAATCAGAAGTCTCATATTATGAACAAGAATCATGAAAAATATATCAATCTCAGTTATTAGAAGAGGGTAGTTAGCAGTCATAGTTATTAGGAGAGGGGAGAAAGCAATCACAGTTATTAGGAGAGTGGAGATAGCAATCACAGATACTAGGAGAGTGGAGATAGCAATCACAGATACTAGGAGAGGGGAGAAAGCAGTTTCCATTTTCCTTGAATGGAAATAAATTTGGAAAAATTATTTAGGTCCAAGCTAAATATCAGAATTGAAAATGGGTTAAATCGCTTCGACTGTATGTCTTTGACTATATCTTTTGTGAATATAAGATCTGAAACTAAGAAAATGTGTAATAATTATACTGACTTGGAGTGGGGTATATGTACTCAAACCTATATATGTTGTTTGGTCATTATTGTGTTGAACATGTAACACAAAAATATCATTGATGTATATTTTCAGCTCTTAGATTTGGAAGCACTACCTGTCGGAGCAAAGGAAGCAAAACGACGTAAAAAGATTGCAGGTTTGTAATTTGAAAGAAAGAATGAAGAAAATAAATTGTTTTTTCACCCTGATAGACTCCGTGAATGCCTAGGACATTTGGTGCTTTCCTAAACAATTGTTTTATTTTAAGCAGATTTGATCAAAAGGAGAGGTAAGCTTATGACATGATACAGCATCTATCATTTGTCAGTTACCATCCATCAGCTTTTTGATAAAAAGCATTGCTGGTCATGAACAACTTGGCAGATTCTTTGAAATGCCCCTTCATCCTCAGGAATGACAGGATATTTTCAAAATTAGGTCTGAAACATCCTTGGGGTAACTGGAGTAAACCCTCTGTTGACAGAGGGTAGGGCCCAAAATGTGAAATAGCATACTGATGAAGAATCCTTCTGTGGAGATGAAAGTATTGTATTGTGACCAAATCTGTTCAGACACAGACTAGGATGAATTGGAATCAATTGGTAAAAGTTATAGGTTTTGGTTACATGAGTGTGATGAGCCCTTCTAATCTTCTTCTGTAGGAAAAGCAGGATTTTGTCTACATTCTCAGTCTGAAGCATTGGATGGACCCAAATAATGAAAATAGATGTAAATCTTTGAAATCCATTCATTAACCCTTTGTTGAGCTTTAGAAAGCCAAAAGGCTTTTGGGTTTGTTGATACAACAATGTTTTTTGAAATCATTGTCTTTGATGCAAGGGATGATTACCTGTCCTTTTATTTTGTTCTTTTCCTTGGGGTTTCATCTTACGATCTTTTCTTTGCTCTCCCAAAAAATGCATTGTTTACTTTGTTAATTGCCTAAAAATTAACTGGAATCCTCATGTTTCGTGGCATTATGGATGTGATCTTGTTTTCCCTTCTTGTCTTGTTCTTCTGTGACAATGGTATCACAGGTAGCAAAATTTGTACAATGCCCATTTTCTGGTGTATAGGATAAAGCAAAAAGGAAGTTGAGATATTGGTCTGCTTGTCTGTTTTCCTTGTATAGTAATACTTGATAGCACAGTCAGCTTCTTTACTCGAAAGGCTTCAAGAAATGGCATAGTGCCTTCAACGACTTCCTCATATTTGTTCAGTTCTTTTGTGACCCTTTATAGACCATTTCCAATATGTTATTGACTAATCCTTTCCACAGACTAGGCTTGTATTCTCACACATCTATGACCAAGCATTAGACAAAGCATGGCCTAATTGACTACAGTACAATGTTAACATCTTGTGTTCATTAAGGTGTTGTCATCAAATTGTCACACTTAAGTCTTCTACTGATTGCATTATAAGAACTTGATTCTATTACATTACCAACCTAAAGAAATTTTTATTCAATTTCTCTTTTTATACGCACGTCGAAAGATGGGATGCATCATGTTTTCACGCGGGCGGTCGGTAGCACATAGACTTCCATTCGATAATTTTTTAGATTAATTTAAAACTTCAAATGAAGGTTTATTACCATAAAAGCCAGGTCAAGTTCGATAAGCAAAATTTTTCGCCCATTATTTACAGAGTTATGGCCCTTATACATTTGCAAAATAGGTTTCCCCACAATAAGTTATTTTTCTTGAATAGTTTTGGACGGGCGTATATTGTTCCGCCCTGTGTACTCTTGTTTATACATATACTTACAAATATCAAACAATTTGTAAGATTCATCCCCCTCTGCCTCTGTCTTTACTGGTAAACACTACAATTTGATTTAGTACCTTGGTAGAACATATCTAATCTAGAGTTGTTTGTTGACAGATATGGAGGAGATGGAGTCCAAGAAAAAAGAAAAGGAGGCAGTGGTAGCATCTACAGCCACAGCAACAACAACAGCTTCTTACACGCCAGACTATGCTGCAGGACTGGTGTCTGGTCCAACAGCTGTAAGTCCATCCATACATCAAATTCATTCACTGTAAGATAAAGATACTGTCCATGTTTATGCTGTTATTTTGTTTTTTTTCTCCTTTGGAAACAAATTTATTTTCACATTCCATGGAAAAAAGTACAAATGTAAGTCTCATCCATTTTCTTGATGATTTTATTCGGTTTTTTTTTTTTTTTTTTTTATAGAAAATTGCAGTTGTGTCAGTAGGAAGTACAAACAGTGTCACCACTACCCCTACAGCATCCTATGTCCCAGCCACAACATCAAGGGTTCTCAACCCCTCAGTCACACCCTTCCAAGGTAAGTGTGTCCCAGCCACAACATCAAGGGTTCTCAACCTCTTAGTCATTCCCTTCCAAGGTAAGTGTTCCAGCCACAACATCAAGGGTTCTCAACCCCTCAGTCACACCCTTCCTAGGTAAGTGTTACTGAATAACGATATCAAGGGTTCGCAATGCAACTTTGTAATTATCAGGTAGAAAGGACCTTGACTGATTTATACTTCAGAGAAGAGGTTATGTCACTTATGAAAGTGCTAATATCAAGAGTCAACAGAAAGCTATGTAGGGAGCTGAATATTGTTTACAGATGTAATTGTTTCTTCTGTTATAGCAGCCTCTCTATCCAGTACCACACAACAGGCCAGGGAAAACCTCCAGCAACAGCTTCAACAGCTCAACAAATCCACGCGACCAGGAGGGGGCACAAGTGACACCCCCTCCTATAACCCCTCAGAGCCAACCCCCACTTCAGATGCAACAGCCCCCACAAGTACCCCTACACTTACCACAGTCCTCACTCCACAGCTGGTGCAGCCAGCCACCACCAACACCACCCCCACACAGCCCACACCTGTTATGCCCACACCACAGCCGGGACAGCCAAAGAAGGGACTGTCACTTACGGTAAGGAACTGTCATCATAAGAATTTTTAACCTGAGATTAGTAGTGTATTACTACTGGTTCAAAATAATAAAAATGACATTGAAACTATGAAGCCCCAATCTGGAAAGTTATCATCAATTAATCTCAAATTTATTTAAAAGAATTAGTTTTTGGTAATGATAAGTATTTTTAAGTTGCTTTCAAACCTGTCATTGTGAAATAAAAAAAATGCATTCTTTTATACTTTTATATTGATAAAACTTTTCTTTTGTTTTCTTTTTTAGAGAGAACAAATGTTGGAAGCGCAAGAAATGTTTAGGACATCAAATAAAGTTACAAGACCAGAAAAGGCCTTAATCCTTGGCTTCATGGCGGGATCAAGAGGTTTGTATCTACTTTATAGGTTATCTTGGAACTCGACTCGTATTGTAATATCAGGAAAGAGTTATGCCTCTTTACATAGCTAGAGAATCCTATTCATGGCACAATTTTTCTAGTGTCTATAAGACAGGTAGCCAAACCATTACAGGTGGCTTTTATAGACAGATACTTGTTACTGTATTATGCATGGTCATTATAGACAGGTATTTGTTACTTAATTGAAGTTGGCCATTATAGACAGGTATTTGTTACTTAATTGTAGTTGGCCATTATAGACAGGTATTTGTTACTGTATGATGAGTGGCCATTATAGACAGGTATTTGTTACTGTATGATGAGTGGCCATTATAGACAGGTATTTGTTACTGTATGATGAGTGGCCATTATAGACAGGTATTTGTTACTGTATGATGAGTGGCCATTATAGACAGGTATTTGTTACTTAATTGTAGTTGGCCATTATAGATATTTGTTACTGCAACAATGTAATTAAGATATGTTGGTTGATGTAAATAAGTACTTGTTAAGGATAGTAGATTCAGAATATAAATCCCTGAACTTCTCTTTCTTCTACAGAAAACCCATGTCCACAGCAAGGCAGTGTATTAAGCATTCGTCTGAGTGAGAACAAAGAAATGGTTTCACAAATAGACTCTACTCAGAAAACCATGATTGCAGACACTTTTTTCCAAATGAATTATCAGACAGGTGAATGGAAACGCATAAAAAAATACCGGGAGTGTGCTGAATAAAACAAAAGAAGCTACAGTCATTGTCATAAACAGTATTTGGTGCAGTCGTGTATCAATTTTGGTTTGTTAAATTTGACCATCATGTTGACATTTGTCAGTATGAAGTGTTTACATGGAAGTGTTCGTGATATGAAGTCTTTCTGGTCTGTATATTTATTTAAGAAAATTTTGGTACCATGTTATAGTTTTTTGTGATCAACATCAGAGCGAAAGCATATATATTTTTTAAATGTATGGAAATATATTGTCTTTCATAGATGAAGGCAAGGTGGTCACAAACATCATGTTGCTTGTTTGAGATTTTTATCAGCAATTTGTTTTATTTTGTGAATGTTTTAAATTAATTGATAAGATACCAGTAAGTGAGATTCCTCTTTGCACAAAGTGTGTCCATCTCAGTACAATGTAGATAAACCTTGATGTAACTCTTTATGACTTCTTGGATTACCACACTGTATATTCATTCACCGTCTCTAAAACACATCTCAGCGTGAGCATGATATTAATAGAATGGGATTACAAGAGACCCGTGATTTTACCTTCAACAATATCTATGTGGTGGTTGATGTCATACTGGTAAGAAATGATATTCTTGTTGTTCTGTTTAAAATCAGACACAGCCCCAACCTCTCATTGCACCATTGGAAAAGGACTGATTGTAATGATGTGAAGTCTGTATTGCAGAAAATTTTTGGATGGATGTATATTTCACAATTTTACATTTAAAGAAAATAACTAGGATGACATATGAGTATGAAGTTAAATTTTGCTGGCTTTGACATGAATTATGCAAAATAGTATCTTCAGATTTAACAGACTAATACACAACAGCCTCAGATGGACATTGGATTTCTCAGAAGCCATGTATTGATCAAACTTTTGTTTTCTCAACGACATATTTGGAAACAGCTTATTGTTTATGCTGAGGTAGATGGTTGAGCTGTGAAATTGGCTACAAGAAATAGTAGGTATTGATGGGCGATGCCTTTTTGGTTGAGAGATAGGGTTTACAAGCCAGACCAGCATGACCTGTAACTATATAAGTGTTTAGATTTATAGTCGAATGGGTGGTTACAAATTTTCTGTCTCTGCCACCCTTCCTTTTATATACTCTTCTATGACAAAGATTGCTCAACTAAATATACTAATTACGAAACGGAAACCACCAGACTGTGGTAAAATTTCATGGGTCAATAGTTACTGCATGATATTATTAGATTGTATCAAGACCACTTTTTTCTCTTGTTGAAAGTTTAAAAAAATCTTTATTGCTAATCTGCCATTCCTTTGGAAATATAAATCATTGTCAGAGTATTTGTAATAAAACAGGACAGTCTGTTTATACGCAAAATTATGAACAAAACTGTTTGCTGTGATAGAACATGACCAAGACAGAAGTAGGAGCGGTAAATTAGTTCCTAATATGCTGATTCAGGTCCAAGTGCTAGATGGCACTTTTTGTCTTGCTGCTTAATATCTTGCTTTGATTTGTATGTTTCTTGTAGATCTGTTGTTTCTTTACATCAGGTGCTTTGAAATCTAAAAAGTAAAACTACAAACTTTATTTTATCAGTATAGAAGCATTATACAAGTCCATATATATTATTTGCTAGTCATATCAGCATATTGCATCACGGGAAAGGTTGTATTTGTGGAGGATATTCTCTTTTTATTTTGAAGATAATTATATCAATTCACATTAAAATATTGTCAACATATTAAGTCAATACCTCTTCTTTTTTTATGGTAGTCAAATTTTGATTGGCATTAAATTTATTGTACAAGTTCTTTCCAATGGCCTTCATATCAGTTGAAGTATAATGCTTTGAGTTCAGCGTGTGAATATTTTTTGGGGGTTGGATGGGGAGGAAGGGAGGGCGATGGTAGTTAAGGACATGAATGGGATTTTTTTTTTAAGGCGTAATTTTCAGGTTAAATTTTTTTTGGTAAGTTTTCTTGAAAGGATTTAGCATACCATACTAGGATTTCAATTCTTTGCACAAAATATTTGATATCGGTTAATGACAAAAAGGAGGATTTTTTTCTCATTTATTTCTTCTTTTTTTTCTTTTTCTTTTTTTTTGACTTTTGTAATGCTAAGATTGTAACAAATATACTGCTAGAATTGTGATTCTTTACATGAATGTTCTGATGAAGCATAACTGTGGTTCATTAATGAATTTACATTTTGTAGTGGGGAGAGGGGAAAGCCTTTCTAGGACCCTACACAAATGACTATAGTACATTGTTACCATTTTGTGTATTTTTTGTCTATAATTTTATTTACCATCTCATCACACTATTTTCGACCTTACTGTACAGAGGATTTTAGCACAACCAAAAAAGATGGTCGATTCCTTACCATCTCAAACACTACTACATCAGTGCTAGTACACTCCACACTAGTCATTTGTCTGATGAAGGCAACCATATAGTCATTGAAACATCACTCTCTAATCTGCTACTGGTTTTGTTATAAGAACTTCTATTCTATTGACATTACCAACCTGAAGAAGGTGTTCCGAAAATGACATTATTGTTGACATAGAAGGGAAAAAAAACCAAGAATAGTCACCTCTGAATGTTTATAATTTCATTCACAAGTCATATTGAACCTTGTTGTTTAGATATAGCAATGGCAACAAATCTATTAGGTGATATTCTCTGTTTGTTTATATTTTCTTACATTAATCATTGCTTGCTTAATTTGTTACTGGGTGAAAGATTGAGACAGAGATTGTGACTAGGGTGATAGGACAGTGTTTATTAATGTGGACAGCAATAAAATATTATGTCAAACCACCTGTGGTTCAAGTTATATGTAATTTTACTTCTTGATGCATCATGATTTGGCTTCAGCATTTACTGACAAAAAGGGTCATTTCTAAACATGTAGCTAGTTTTGTGATTAATATAACTGACCAGTATTTAGACATGCTAATTACTCAGCCACTGTCCCCCCTCTAGCCAGACTTTCCTTCAATACAATATTGACTCCCCATCACCAAAAGGGGCTGTGAAACAAATTCCTTAAAGAAAAAACCTTGATCCAAAATTAAGATTTAATTCAATTTCCGCTATTGGGCCCAGTCCTTCTGTCCCAACGGCACCTTGAGCCTTCATTTATACAAAGTTCAGTTTCCTTTATCAAAGAATACCTCGGACAAAATTTCGTCATAGTCCCTTAATATTAGATTTATTTTTCCCCCAAGCGGGCTCCACAATCAAATATGATAATTAAGTTTGATTATTCAGTGCTTCTTCAGAAAAGTAATATAAATGATATAAAAGATCCAAAATCCAAGATGGCCGCATATCGGCCATTTTCTTTTTTAGATAGGACAACGTCGACAATGCAATACGTGGGACTAGATGGAACTCGCATCAAAATTGAACAGAATGGTCCATCCCTTAATCAACTATGGCTGTCGAAATCGAAGATGGCCACTTGTCAGCCATTTTGTTTTCTCGCTCAGTCCAGAAAATGAACATTGCTAGGGACCAAGGGGAGCTTAATGATCAACAATCATGTTTTCGAGAACGATCACAACCTTTAACTGTCAAAATTCAAGATAGCCGCATGTCCAGATTTAATCCAGTATCAACTAGATGTTGTGAAAGGCGATAGATTTAGTCGGCACTGCTGCCAAGGTCCGTCGACCGCTTTTTGTCGGTTAACTTTATTATTTCATCGCTTTATAGATAAACCTCCTGTATCCCCGCCACACATTGATAAAGAGATACGAAACTGACATATGCGACGTTGAAGATGAACAAATTGTTATCGCTACTTCCGCTAGCTTCTACCACATTCATAGCCACCTTCGTATTACTCCATAACTTCTGTACGCAAAATTGTATTAAAACAGAGATTTTACAACATAGTGATGTTTGGTCCACGTATGGTCCTGATCAGGTCCCGTATTCATGAAACCGTTCTCATGCTCAAGCATGAATTTTGTGCTCAAGCCTTATGTCTTGATTAAGTTAAAGGTTAATAAATAAGGCTGATTTGAAAGGACATCAAGTCAAAGCTATATTCAAGGTTTAAATTTGTATTATTTTATAGGATTTAGGTGAATTATAAAAAAGTTTGCTTGAGCACAAAATCTACGCTTGAGCATGAGAATGGTTTCATGAATACGGATCCTTGATCTCGACCTTATTCGAGATGATCGCCATGATGAAAAACTTAATCCTGCTACTTTTGATGAACAGAAAGTCGTAGAAGACAGGACTTTCATGTAAGACTTGTATTAGTTCACATCTAGTTTTTAGCTCGCCGCTTACAGTAACCTTGATCTAATGCTGTTTTTGCGGCGGCGTCTTGGGGACATGTTTTTGAAAGGTTTCTAAGTCCATATGTATCACATATATACGATAATAAGTGGCCTAGACTTGGTGTCGCGCCAATATAATGCTGATTTTAAGTCTGTTTTTGCCGCAATATATCATGGTTTGTCAATTCACAACAAAATGTCTGTCGGGTGACGGTTTAGACCATTATATAGCCTTCAACCACGTGATGTACCTATTTGTCTCTTAAGGAATCGAATAGTTTGTCACAGTTTGACTCGCGACAACATTCACAACAAGTAAGTAGGATGTTACGAGACCCCAAAAGGTATGGAAGAGACGCAGGCAAGACTGATACTTCAGAGCCTTCACATAAATACTAATGTACACTCGCTCGGATGAGTTTCGATACGTCGATTTTGACTCCTTTAGAAGACTTCATTGTCAAAACTGTTTTGTACGGTATTCGTATCCATCAACGCTGTCATTACTCCGTATAGAAGGTCAGTTAGTGGCACTACAGTTTATTAATTCAAGTATAGAATCATCCAGATCTACAATTATAATCACCTATATAATTGTTTGGGATGATTTTTATGGGTCAGTAGCTAAGTTGAGGGAGGGAAAGAGATATTTTTTTGCAGGTTTTGTTTTTAAGCTAGTTCAGAAAACCATTACCAAAATGCCTATTATTCCCATTACTAAACGAAATAGTGCGTTCTGGAAATTTAGATGTCACAAAGAAAAACTAGGACAAAAATTCAGGGTAACAAAATTACTGTTTATTTCAAAGGGCTTGGTTTTCAAGATCTCCCAACAGATTATAGCATTTTACTATATACCCCTCCATTTGCTGACTTATCTTTGCAGACTGAATTCATCTATGGGCTTATCATGTCATAAAGATCTTGCCAACAACGCAAATATCACTCTTAAATATATGGAAGATGTCTTAAGATATGAAGAAATATGTTGGCGATGTCCATCTAAGTACCCATGAGAAATAGAATCAATGACACGACGGCCTCTTACCTCGATCTTTTCAGGGACAGCTTTCCACCAAGCTGTGTTAGCGTGATGCCTTTCATTTCCCTATTGTGAATTTTCCATTTTTTGATAGTAATATTCTTGCTTCCAAATTCTTATAAACTATTCACACGTCGCAGTTGTTCCAATATTCAAGAGCACCAGTGTTCCCTATATCTATGCAAGATAGATAAACTCAAAGCACAGTGTTTCGAGAGATGTAGGTTGGCAAGATTTTAAGGTCGTCACTATTGTCTGATAAGGAAAAACTATTTCTTTGTAGAATATGAAGATTGTTTCATGCTCTTTATTATTTCTGGTAGTTACGTTGTTGGTAGCTTTGTTCTCATTTGAAAACGCGACAGTTCTTGGTAGGATAGATCATAATTTACATTGGTGTTGTCGATGTACAAGCATATAACTCATCGAGACATATAGCCTTATTTTGTAGGTTCTTTTAAAGGAAGAATCCCCCTCTTCCTCCCCCTCCCCACCCCTGTTTTTCTTCTATGGGAAGTAGTATTGCCTTCATACAATTTAGAAGTCCTATAAAAGTGGTCACGAGGTTTGTCGTAACTTATGTCCACTATGTCGGAAATTAACGGAACAATAAAGAGTGCTACGAAATGGTATCATATAGATAGCTGGTTTTATTTAGCCTCCGGGAGATCTCCAGATAGCTTTCTTTCGTCGTAATTTCGCCATGCTGGGTGGAACAATATCCAAATCCTCGAAACGAATTAGATTAAGTGTCAATTTATCTACACAAAGCTGTTGGTGTGATTGGCCCCGTGGTCTCACGCGCACGACAGTTTGATACACAGGACATGCTTTATGTTACCAAATGTGCTGAAGAATGTAAGCAAATTAATGTTGGTTTTACCTTCAGTTGAAACACTCCGCTCAGCTGAAGTGATTTGTTAAACAACGTAAACAAGACGGAGCATAAATATAGGTCAGAATGTATACAGTGAAGTGTGTGTTTGTTTAGTTTGGGTGTGTGTTTTTGTTTGTTTGTGTTTTTTTTGTGGAAGATTTCAATGCAAAAAGTATGTATTTATTTACAGAACCTGAGAGACAACCCATGGTTTTCTGTATCAAAATGTGATTTTTACATTTTGATATCACTTTTGAACAGGTCCTACTTTCAATCCTGTTAAGATATGATAACAAATATTTATATGATACAATTATACATATAAATACGTGAAAACCAGTAAGCTTTACATACCAGCAAGCTTGAAATTGTATCAGTTTTCGAATAGATAGTGTAAGTCCGTCCGAAATTTGAAAACGTAAACATTTGCGTTTCAAAGTAGAAATTTAAGTGGGTATTAAGACATAGCATAATAGATTGTCGTATATTTAGAGATAGGTACTGTTTATTGTTGATTTAGAGATATGTACTGTTTATTGTAGATTTAGAGGTAGATACTGTTTAATGTAGATTTAGAGAAATGTACAGTTTAATGTAGATTAAGAGATCAGAATTGTTCATTGTAGATTAAGAGATAGGTACTGTTTGTTGTAGATTAAGAGATATGTACTGTTTATTGCAGATATAGAGATATGTACTGTCTATTGTAGATTTAGAAATAAGAATTGTTCATTGTAGATTTAGAGATAGGTGCTGTTTATTATAGATTTAGAGGTAGGTACTGTTTATTATAGATTTAGAGGTAGGTACTGTTTGTAGATTTAGAGATTTTAACTGTCTATTGTAGATTTAGAGATAAGAATTGTGATATAGATTTAGAGATATGTACTGTTTATTGTAGATTTAGAAATAAGAATTGTTCATTGTAGATTAAGAGATATGTACTGTTATTGTAGATTTAGAGATAGGTACTGTTTATTGTAGATTTAGAGACGGATACTGTTATTGTAGATTTAGAGATTTTAACTGTCTATTGTAGATTAAGAGATAAGAATTGTTCATTGCAGATTAAGGGTATAGATTTAGAGATATGTACTGTTTATTGTAGATTAAGAGATCAGAATTGTTCATTGTAGATTTAGAGATAGGTACTGTTTATTGTAGATTTAGAGATAGGTACTGTTTATTGTAGATTTAGAGATAGGTACTGTTTATTGTAGATTTAGAGATAGGTACTGTTTTTGCAGATTAAGAGATATGTACTGTTTATTGCAGATTTAGAGATATGTAATGTTTATTGTAGATTTAGAAATAAGAATTGTTCATTGTAGATTCAGAGATATGTGCTGTTTAATGTAGATTTATAGATAGGTACTGTTTATTGTAGATTAAGAGATCAGAATTGTTCATTGTAGATTTAGAGATAGGTACTGTTTATTGTAGATTTAGAGATAGGTACTGTTTTTGTAGATTAAGAGATATGTACTGTTTATTGCAGATTTAGAGATATGTACTGTTTATTGTAGAATTAGAAATAAGAATTGTTCATTGTAGATTTAGAGATATGTACTGTTTAATGTAGATTTAGAGATAGG